CAATGTATACATTTAAATAACACTTGTAATGGGGCGACTGATTGCGAACACCTTAACGGGGCAGTGGGTGGCGTTGGCCTTCGTCAATCAGTTAACAAAAAAAAAAAAAAAAAAAACTGTTCCACACACACCTGCAGCGATCCGCTATGTTGCCCGATTTGGTAAATGGAAAAATGTTAAACTTGGTTAAATGTTTAAATGCGGGCGTGCTAACGAAACGAGGTTGGGTCTACGCCATCGTCTATTACTCACGGCTATTTGGTTATTTTGGCGATAACTTCAGTATAATTAAGTCCCACGTCAATTTGGGTCACGCGCCCTGAGTTTAACTATTCGTTTTTGTATTATAATATATAGTATTCCATATGGGAAGCAAGACTTTTATTGTTTTAATTTATGTCTATTATAAAGTATGAAAAATAAATGATGTACAAGTTGTGAGATAGTTTCCTTGGTCTTGTTCTATTAACTCAAAATAAGAATAAAATCTTTTCTCGTATTAAAAGTTTGCTCTTTATTTTAATTCAGCAAATTATTAATAGACATTTTTGTTGTTGTATATTTTTCCCATGTTTAATACATTTAAAACCTATTCAATGTACTATCCTTTATAGAGTCTATTTTATATATATGCAAATAAATAAGTCACGATAATAATTTAAGTAGAGACAATTAAGTTATTCCATTCCGGGATCATTGAGATGAAACCTTATATATGGGCTATAAGTGTGCAGGAAAAATCACCTTTTTCTGATGATTCTTGATCTTGGAAAAAACCCCAAGACCCTGGATGTGACCAAGATCTGAAAACCCATTAAAAGTTCATCTTTCGGGGGATGCCAGTGAGTCAATCTCCGCGATTGAGATAATAATTATCGCTCAAAATTCTCGCGACTTCCTGCTGCACAGTGTGTCTTTAAATACTGGTTTTTGATTGTGTCTGTGTTTTTTTTTTTTTGGGATATTCTATTTTTTCCTTGGTTTTATTTCTGATTACCAGCTTTTCTATATTTAAGTTTAGGTTTTTGTGTATCGTGAAGCGGTTGCAACCGGTTCGAATTGCTTTGAATGAACGTTGAAAAGTCAATCCACAGAAATTCTACGATTGATATGCGTTATTGTCTCGATTGTGATTGTGACGGCATAAGAAATACTAAATAATCAGCATAAAAATGGGGAAAACAATTCACAAATTGACAATGATAAGTCCGGCACTTTGTTTTTGAAAAGAAAAAGGCGGATTTTTGTATTGATTTTGTTCTGCTTTGTTTTTTTCAAGAGGATTTAAAATGTATATGTAATGATTTATTGAAATTCTTATATCTTTGGGGTGTGTATTAGCCTTGACTTTTACCCATTGGTCTCTTATCAGACTTTTGAAACGTGCTGATCGAACGATTTTGTGGCCCAAAAAAGCCGTCAAATTCCATCGAAAAGCTTTTTAAAATGCCCTTGTATGTGCATTGTTTGACGTTCTATATAATTCTGTATAATATATACCATATATATGGGATTGATCATAAATTGATCATAAACAAAGGCGGCGAAGGCAAAGGCAATCTTATCATTCGAAATCGTTTGTCATCAAAAAAACAAAGGAGTGCACTGAAAGAGAGAAATAAAGCAAAAGAATCATGAACTTAAACAAGAGCATTGGGAACTGAAGGCATAGTATATAATTAATAGGTGAATAAATCATATTGATAGTCATCTGATGGCTTCTCAGTTGTTTCTTAATGACAGAGAGCGTATATGATGTATTATGAAGCCAAGCCGAACAATCAATCACACGCTCGAGTGCAGCGTCATTAAGAATAAAAACAGCGTTTTATAGAGATTGATAGTACTTGTACTTTGCTGCAAAACTGAAGAGTTACTTATCCCACAAAAAATAACTTGTCAAAGTAGTTTTTTAATTTAGATTATAATAATGTTGTGAAATATTTTCATTTAGTCTGTTCCAAAGAAGCGTAATGAAGTGGCAACCGCAAAGACCGCAGAAATAAAACCCGGATAACTGATCTTAAGGTTTTTTTTATAAATGAGAGGTATATACATAGTCCCGTGACAAATAGTATTTAATTATTACACAATCTTTGTGAAAATGTGTGAAAAGCCCCACAAATACCAAACAATTACCATGAGCTAAACAAGTTTTGTGTTTCAAGGCCTCAGATAAGAAAAAACATAAACTATTTCCGTCTATAAGTTAATGTTGTAATATTTACACAATTATCCAAAAAGTTATTTTTTAATGAAGTAAAAACTCAGTTCTTCATAAGCCTTTGAAAGTAAAATTGTAGCTTAACAAATATATTTCCTCATCTAAAATAGAGGTTTTACAGCGATGAATACACAAGTTTTTAGTTGTTCTCTTTCATTTAAAGCCCTTAGTTAATATACCCTCATCTTAGTTAATTACAGGGTGAACTTTTTGTACAGATATCTAGTAGTTTTATTATTTTTTTGTAATTTAACTTCCCCCTTAAATACCTTGAATATCATAAAATGTCACGTTGATAAATTTATGAATTGTAATGCCGCGTGCAGTTTGCACGTAGCCCGCAGAAACAGAAGTATTTAAGGGTTCCTATATTGTATATAGAAATATATATTAGAATCAGACAATAATTTAAGGCATTTACCATCCATCCATTTCGTTTATCGCTAAGTATAAATAAACTTAAATCAAACCAAGACCACTTAAGACTCTGGACACTTGACTTATGGGCCTCGGGGGTTATACAAGCGGCGACAATTGATATTGATATTTTTGTCGTGGACAACTTAAGTCCCCTTAAGTCAGTTTCCAAGGGGACTTTACTGGGTAATTCCCCCTGATAAGTCTATGATTTGGTTGGATGCAAATTTTCAGTGACTTATACACGTGATTGATCTTTTCTAGAAAGAAAGAAAAATGTTTACTTCACTTTACTACTTGAGCTTATATAATCGTCTCCACTATCTATAAGTTATATGCCAAGGATTGTTTACCTATCAAAAGCTATTTGTTTATGATTAGGGAAGGTGAAGAATCGATGTTAGTTGGAGTTTATATAAGGTAAATAATGACTGTCTTTAGTCCAAGGATTGTTTGTTTATAAGAAGAAGTAATTGTGTAGCTGAATCATCAGTTTCTGTGAGACCATATCAATATTTATGGAACCATCAACTTACCAAGAAGAATCCACAACAGCTCACGTGTTCCTCGCTCTTTGTTTTGGCTTTAAATCAGAATATTTTCCCCCTATATCATCATACATGCTTCAGATAATGAAGTATCTGAATAGATATATGGAGCTTCTTCTAGCTTCTGTGTCGCTGTCACGTATTCGTACATACAAATTGTTTTTGGTGCTGTTTATCAATTTGCAATTCCCCATTTTTGGGTGGCTTTAATTAATACTAAAGATAGTGCCTCGGCGGCGGTGTATTCAACCTTCGATTTGTAATTTTTCCAACCGCAATTGCACAATTCCATAAATTTTTGAGAGCTGCCCCGAAAGGCAACAACAAATTGGAATAGATTACGATGAACGATATCATTAAATTTATGAGTATGTGCGAGCGGCATTAGCTGGATAATTTATGGCTCTGATTATGGGCCATTCGATTGGCCGAAAAAATGGACTTAAGTCTTTGAAACGTCTTGACCTTCAAGCACTCGTGTGGAGTTCTTTGAACGCAGATGATAATTAAGCGACGAACCCCGAACTTGATGATCTTCACAGATCTCAGGTGACTCACAGCACAGAGAAGAAGCCACTGAAGCATGTCTAATGTCTCAATTCTGCGTCTGAGCTCAGTTAGAGCCAAAGTGCCAAAAAAAAAGCATTTAACATTCATTTCTGCGCCAATAAACGCGCTTCACAAAGGCGATCATGTCTGGGCTATATAGCTCGTGTGCTGATCATTAATCAGGTGTTTCGCTGCGAATGGATAATTGTGTGTGGCTTTCACCGGGTACACCACGGCGTATGAGAATTTTTCCTGACCATTAGAACCGGTGTCAACGACACTGCTGCCCTTTGGACTGTTTTCTTTTTTCGATCCATGCCTAGTGCTATGATCATCCGATAAAATCCAATCTAACTATGCGAAGTCTATGCGTATCTTGAGTGTGTGTTCTTATCTGTCGAAGCTTATCTGGCGAATATTGGCCAAACATAAATAAACTGGCGACCAATACAAAGAATAACAGTCAAAAGGCGGCAATAGTGTCACCAGTTCTTGGTAAAATATTACAAATAAATAAGAAAGGGGGATTACTTAAAAAAAAATTCAAAGAAATCCCAAAAAAATAGATAACCAAACATAATTTGTGGCAAAAGAGACACATTTGGTAAAGAAACATTTGTACAATAGCTCAAAACATGGCAAATGTGAATTAACAACATTGTTGTTGACCTTAAACGCGCCCGGTTTCTGCCTCTCCTGGCTCGTGGACCATACATACAATGCAAATATGCGGTAGTAATAATAGTACAATTGTCCGGTGGCCACAATGCAATAGTGCTGCAATATTACTCAGTGCTCAATGTTCACAATGCTCACCGCTCAGTGCTCCGTGCCTGGTGCGGTGGCTATCATTAATAAATAAAGTCACATGTTAATTATCAGCCAGCGGCAGCCGCTGCTAATTTCAATATTTGCAGCCGCACCACCAGCAGCAGCTGTTACTTTGTTGGGACACACAAAAACAATAACAAATCGAGCGACCTGCTTTGTTCAAACAGGTTCGAAACCGACTAAATATATACAATACATTAAAAGACGTTTACGTAGTCGCCGGCGGATCACGTGAAAAAATTATCCACCGCCAGGCGGAGAGGCACAGGTAACGACACAACTGGGAAATGAGCAATGCCTCTGATGTTTGACACAAAAAGTTAAATTCAAAATAAAAAGTTGAGAGTTGTCCACAGTATGCGTTTAAACAACTCTCGAAAAAGCTGGGATGACTTATTTTCTACGTTCATCATTTTTAATAATAACAAATAAACAAAGGCGAAACAATAAACATTCAAATATAAGAAACTTCAAACCACATATTCAAACTGCGCGCGCTATCGCTTAAACTGAGTTGGCAGCCCCGCAAACTTAATTATCGGTGTATCTCAAACAAATCGATAGCACCGATAGTTACATCAACGTTTTTGCAGCTCTAGTAAATATGTAGTAAACGAAAACAAAAAATCAAAGTCACAAAAAAACGAGTGCAAAGGCAAAAAGGTATTTCAATCTGAGCCTGAACGGGTGAATAATAGTGCGACTTAACCGCAGAACGCGAGGGAGGCGGCAGAAACTCGGTGGGAGGTCGTCCCCTCCCACTCTCTATCTCAATCTCGTCTGTTTGCTCTCTCCCACACTCTGTTTTGAATAGTCGTCGGCCCATGTGTGCGTGCAAGTGAAAGGTGGGGAGCCGTAGCCGTAGCTGGCGGAGTAACTGAAACAGTTGCAGTTACCGTTGCAAGCGCCAAGGAGCGGCGCCCAGGTGAGTGGACGCTAAATGCATTAAATAATGCGGAAATTAGCAACGGCACACACTGTCTTGGCGGTTGCTTATGTGTGTGCGTTACGTGTTGGCCATGACATCACTAAAAATAACGGCGGCCATCTCCAAAAATCTGTTACAGTTTAAAAGCTACTTAGAGAGAGATATCATTGTTACTTTGCAAGGAGTATTTACTTATTTACAACTTTCTCTTTCTTCCAAGTGTTCATTTCTCAATGAACGAGTTCATTCTACAATTCCGACTCATTTATAAATAGACGAGCTTAGCTATTTAGGGAACACATTTAGTACTTTAGCCTTTCCCTTAAAATCAGACGCAGATTAAAAACATGATTTCATGTTTTTGTTCAAAATAAGTAGTCAAAAATTAATGTATTTTTTAATTCCTTTGCAGTTTCAAGAGATCGTACCTGACATGGATGACACCGAATTTATGTTTAACGAGAAGCAATCAATTCGGGACTCCTCGAGGACCCTCAAGCGCTATGGCAGCACCTGCTGCAACAGCATGCGGAACAATGAGACACTCATCCGGCACATTGTGGAGAAGACGGACACACTGCAGGGCATTGCCCTCAAATACGGATGCACGGTGAGTTTTCTTTGTGACAAGGTAGAGAAAATGATCGTATGCCACATTTGAATTCATTTTTCATCCAAAGAAGCTCTAGCAATGCTTAAAATTCAATGGATTTCTCAGTTTATACAAATCTTTTAAAGAAAACCTTTCCATGGCAATAGTAATTGGAAATGTCAACCAAACTGCGAATAAATTCTATTGATTTTTGAATTTATGGGTCATCATTATTATCCACCTTTGGTTGGATGACAGAAATTGATTCTGGCTTCGCCAAGCCAATTATAGTCACGCTAGCCCTTCACCTTTTTTGGGGAACTCTCAAGTTCTGCACTTGTTTTCCCATATTTTTAAGATTAATTCATATTTTACCATATTCATTGATTTCTTGGCGCTTTCTCTCCAGCTCTCTCGCTCTGGGGGAAGCTCCACCAGTGCAGTAAGTCGAGTCACGCGAGCCCTTTTAAATTTTAAATGTCAACTTCACGGGGATTTGAATATATCGATTCAATAATGGCAACTGTTGCCCCGGGCAACTCCTCTAAAGCTCTCCCAACCCGCACAGTTCTAGGAATTTACGACCAAACCCACACCTTCACACGGATGGCGGGATGTGATAAGTCTAGAGTCCGGAGTGACTTGGACAAACAGAAGATAGCGGACATGATGTGGGAAGGGCCAAGCATCACTATCTAGCATCTAGAATCTAAGATGTTTATCAGAGTTTCTTATCGGTTCTGGGGGACCCGTGGAAAATGCTGCAGGCGGGTCTACCCCCGTCAAGTCTGAAGTGACAGGTTACTGCATATGATTTATGTCTACATGATGAGCTTCATTGTTTAGTTAGCACTTTGCCAATATTTAACTAGAGTCCAGATTTTGGGTTTTGAGATTATTGACTTGACAAATCTTGAAGCAAACGTCTAAAAAAGCACTGCATTGCCTCTTGACCCGATTGGCCATATATGCGTCGTGAGGGGGGCACTCGGTTATCCAATCCAATCGATCAATCATCCGTCATTCGTCAATCAGGTGTCAGCGCGAACAATTGCCCGTAATTGATGATGAGCTCCTCCATGTATTGCCTTTCCAGACAGAGCAAATAAGACGCGCCAATCGCCTCTTCGCCTCGGACAGCCTGTTCTTGCGTCAGTTCCTTCTGGTGCCCGTGGAGAAGACCTCGCCGTATTATCCCCAGGTGCCTGGCGGTGGCGATGCCATAGCCGCTTTCGATGCAGTGCTGGCCACACCACCCGGCACTCCCGACGCCAATGGACAGCGGGAGGCGCATAACAATGCCAACAACCTGAACCAGAGCAACAGTTTCATCAACAGCAGCAGCAGCGGGAACAGCAGCAGCAGCAGCAGCAGCAGTGGGAGCAGCAGCAGCTGTAACACAAGTGGCGTTCCTCCCACAACCGCGGGATCGCGCTCTGGCAGCCAACAGCAGCAGCAGCAACAGCCACCACAGCGTCCTTATTCCATTGCCGGTGAACTGCTTATGGGCCAGGCCGGAGACGAGGATCCCGCCATGATGCATGGACATGGTGGCTGCGGTGGCAAGCAGAGCAAGAGCCTGGACTCGGTGGCTGCGATGACGCCCGAGGAGGAGAATAGGAAATGCATGAACGACTTCCTTAACAAAATAGACAACACCATCTCCGAGTCGCGCAAATATGTCGAGCGTTCCAAGGAGTAAGTTCTTGCTTTTTCCCTTCCACTGCAAGTAAATTTTTAAATTTCCCTCAATGTTCACTTTTAAAATGAACCATGTGAAAAGAGAACTCCTACTAATCTTATACTATTTACGATTCCACAGCCTGGTAAGCAGTCAGAGTGATGCGGACATCTGTGTCAGTGCCAGCGCAGACATATTCCCGCAGCGCCGCCATCCTCTGAACAACTCCTACAAGACCAACAATAACGACCGTCCGCCGCAGTATCAGCGTCACAGTTCGACGGGCAGCGGGAACTCCTCAGATACGGCGCATCTGCTGAACACGACGCAGACGCGCAGAGTGCAGAACTCGTTAAAGCGACTGGAGAAGCAGCAGGACGACTTCTTTGAGTTGTAGCAGCTGCCGCAAAAATCTAGCCTAATTACGCTGAGGTGTTAATCTAATAAATCGTTTTAAAAATGCCGCGCATTCGAGGGGAGATGCCGCACTCTAAATGTAATATGTATAATATAATGATATATATATCTATATCTGTCGACACATATGCGATATACCTTACAAATACGAGAGATACCTATTAAACATTATACATAAGCTGTAACACTGAGCTAAGACCTCAAACTAAAACTAAAAGAACCCAGAAACTAAGCGCTGCGCTCTGTAAACCTGTACTACGATGACAAGGCAGTTATGTTCCCCGTTTTATGCCGCCAATTTGCTTGCAAGGAAGCCTTCTTTATTGCCCATTGTCCTCCTGCCCCACATTATGTTTACTTTTTTGTATGACTTTTAGCTTTAATCGCACTGTGTATAAATTTAGTTATGAGAATTATTAATGTTAATTGTATATATATCTATATGTAGTCGCTAGCAACAACAACACGAAATTGGCCAACTGTTGACGTGTATTTTAATTTATTTCATAGCTTTCCCCAAGTATTAATTCCAAAATTCCATTTTGTGCAATCTGAACCTACAAAAAAAAGCAAAGAAAAATTGAAACCTTTACGAAAAGAACCTATATCCCAGGAAAAACTCAATATCGAACTGTGTGTGCACTCATATTCGAGCCAAGTCATGTTGTTTGTGAGAATGTTTTATAAAAATACAAATAAAGTGAGAATTGTGTTGGAAAAATGTTGTGTTTTCAAGATTTGAAAATATGGGGAAATGTATATTTAGAGAACATCATATCAATTTATGTATCAAATATCGATATTTCCTGACATCCCTTTGGTGAACCACAGGAATTTCCAGGTAGCGGAGCATGCGCAGTTCCAGGCTTAATTGCGGTCGAACTTCCTTAAATTAAACTCCTAGATAAAGGGAGTACTAATGATGATTTCTTACGGTAAATCATAAGAGAAGCTAATGGCTGGAAATTAAAATAAGAATTGGACCTACATAAATTTGACAGATTTAAGGGTGTTTCACTTTATAGAAGTTCTCCTGTATGGTTGCCAGGACAACGCGCTTCCTGGCAAAACAAACAAAACCCTGAGAATTCAACTATATTTTGGGAGTTTAGTTACGAAAAAAATATACAAAAATGTCGGACAAAGATCTGGATGCCATTATCCAGGTGACCCAGCAGGTGATGGGCAAGTTCATCAAGAAGCCGCCACTCACCGAGAAGCTTTTGAGGAAGCCTCCCTTCCGCTTCCTCATGGATGTCTTTAACAATGTAAGTGGTTCTATTATAATCCTTAAACCCTCAAGTGTAACATGAGTTATCAGTTTATCAAGCAAACCGGCAAGTTGGACGGCTTGTACACTTCGGAGGAGCAGCAGTTCGAAAACATTACTACGCGTGAGGATAAGTTACGATTCCTGCAAAAGATGATCGATGTAGTCAGTGAGTGTTTTACACTTCACCAATCCCCGATACCCTTTACACCTGCTTTGCTTCCCACAGAGCTCACGACCAAGCAAGACCTCAAGGTGCGCACCTCAAAGATAGTCGCTGGCCAGGAGCCAGAGCTCACCAATGAGCTGCTCCAGGCAATGGCCAGTGTGGCGGAGAAGAACCTGGACTGGGACAGCGCGGTCGATCAGGTGGTGATTGCCCACAGCAAGAGTCCCATCGCCCTGCCGAAGCCAACGAAGGAGACCAAGACCTCCAGCAAGAATCCGTCACCAGCCGGCGGAAAGGAGGAGGATCCAAAGCGGCGCAAAGAGAAGCGGACGTCTCCCCAGGAACAAAAGCTGCGAAAGGCCACCACCGAGCCAGGAGCTCGGTCCACACCCACTGAAAAGGACAAGGATAAGACCAAGGCAGTCCCAAAGAAGGCAAAGGTGTCGGGAGCTGAACCCAAACTCAGTCGGCAAAGTTCCAAGCAAAAAAGTCCATCGCCTGTCAAGCTAAAGTCAAAGAACAACAAGCAGCAGCTCTCCACAGATAGCGACAATCCCAGCATGTCCATGACGCCACCAGTACCAGACAATCAACCAGTAGCTCCCGAAACAGTTCCTACTCTAGTATCAAAGGAGGCTAAGTCAGAGCCTGCCCAGGAAGCAGCTGCTCCTCAACCTGCCGCTTTATCTCCACCCACAGAACCGCCAGAAAGTAGGAAATCCTCTGCCCAGCGTCGCAGTTCTGCCTCATCAAACAGGAGTCGACGCTCCAGTGGATCTCAAAGGCAGCCGGAACCTCCTAGCACCACTGAAGTCCAGTCCCAGCCAGCGTTGCCAAAGGCGGAGTCCAACCCTCCAGCAGATTCTAACAACAACACTAGCAGCGAGCTCAAGCGGGAACTTACCATGTCGAGAGAAAACTCGAAGGAATCGAATCAGCGACCAAGGACCTCGCTGAGACCTCCCTCCGCACGTCCCGCCTCCGCTCGTCCTGGAGCTCCACGACGTCGCAATGTGGAGATTGTTTTGCAGCCCAATGACCAAATCAAGATGTCTGGCATCAATGTGAAGCTGGAAACTTTTGGAGACCTGGACGATGATGGTGAGAACTTGGTAATCATTGAAGATGCCAACTCGCACGACATTGTGGAGGGTAATAAGGCAGACGATCCTTCGCTGGAGGGTCAGCTGGATGCCCAGCAAGGTCGTTTGGTGCAGCAGATCCTGGAGACCCAAAAGGAGTTGGTTCATCAGAACGCCGAGGTAATGGAAGCGGCTCCCTCGTCGGCGACAGTTCGCCAGAGTTCAGCACGCCAAGTGAACGATCTGCGCGACGTGATCCAGAGCCTTACGAAGGCTGTAAATCCGCTTGGCAAGCTTCTGGACTTTATACCCGAGGACATCGATGCCATGCAACTAGAGCTAACCATGTGGCGTGACACCTACACCCAGGCTGCCATGGAGCTGAAAAGAGAGCGCAGCCTCACAGCTTCGGCCACCGAGCCTATGAAGCACCAGCTCCAACAGATCGAGGCGAGCATTGTGGAGTACCAAGAGCTGGTCGATGAGAGTCGCAACAAGATACTGCAAAATAATGCACGCATTCTCAAGATGCTGATGGAGCAGTAACTGCTACAGAATAAACCAAAGATATAAGAAATTGTAAGGGTTGAACTTGGAGCCTCGAATATTTCATATTAAAAATTATTACTTAAGTTATACAATCAATGTAATCGGTATTTGCTTCAATGGACAAAGTTAATGTCTTCGAAGGAGCAAAGTGTTGACAAATTTAGTACACGATCCCCCTGTTAAAAAGTAAATGAAACTTTTCCCCATTACCAATTTCCCAATAAGGTTTTACCTTAATCAGAGCCATAAGTCTCACTAAAAAGCCTCGGTTTATAAATTTTCTCACAAAATTTCTGTGCCACCATTTAATATTTTAATTTGAAATACAATATCTATATAAAAATAGCAATGCATCCATGCATATTACTCATGGTAAACTTTATTCTTAAAAACGTGTATGAATGTGTACAATAATATCAAAAATCCTATGATTGGTTCTTTTTTCAGTTAATTTGTAATTTTGTAGGTTTCAGAAGGCAAAACACAATAACAAGCGGTAATAGTTTCTTATCTAAGGTCACTTGGTGTTCGAACCATAAAATATGCTTAAAAAATACACTTCCTAATCAAAACTCAAGGGAAACCCTATTCAGTTCCCTCAATTCCATTCCGATATCCCTTTTGTGCTAAACAGTTCATTTTTTCAAGCCTTTTTTCCTTCGATTTTAGCTATATTCTTATCTTTTTCGACTGCTTCCTCCTCCTCCTCATCGGAATCCAGATCACCTGTGATTGTCTCTTCTATTTCTGTTTTAGACTTCTTCTGATTCTTCAATGTACCTTTCTTTTCCTCTTCCGACTCTCCTTCTTCGTCGTCCTTACACATGCCCCCAAGCCACCGCCTTCCTCCTGGTCCTCATCGCCCAGTACATACTCGATGACATCGTCAATGGGAAAGTTGTTGAGTAGCGACTTGATGGAGTCGTTGTGTATAACCACGGTGAAGAGCAGCTTGCAGTACTCACGCATCCGGCTACCATAGTCCAATTCCGCGTAGTTCTCACTCCCTTTGGTCAGATCATGGCCGCAGTTCTCGATCACCTTGCAGAGCACCGTCTCCTCGGGGGCATTGGGCCAGCCATACTTCTTTAAGATGGGCGGATCCACCAGCATGTCGATCAGCTTGCCTATGTTTTCCTTTAACTTGAGGTCTTCCTCTGTTAAAACTTCGCCGGTGCCATCTTCCTCGCTGGATGGCTCCTCCTCCAGATTATCCGCGATGGCAGCTGCCAAGCTGGCAGCTAACGACTTCCGCTTCTCCTTCTTGACCACCGGCGAGACCTTTAATCCTTCTTCCTTTTTACTTTCGGGCTTTACTCCCACTGGCGCCTCATCCGTCAGCTGTTCGCCCTCAATATCCAACGGGAGAATCGTATATGTTTCGTTCTCCAGCGTAATAGTCTGAGCCGCCGTCTCATCGGTCTCGTCCACCAGATACTCGCGCACCACAACACCGTTGCCATCCGTTTGGCTTGAAATCAACGAACCCGCTGAAGTGTTCAGCGCCACTGGTACAATCTCCTCATGCTCCTGTTCCTGCTCTTTCACCGGCGCCAATTTGGCTCGCTTGCCACGCTTCGCTGTTAGCGGATCCACGCCAAAGATGTCATCCGGATCACATTCGTGGACGGTGCGAATGTGCCGACGAAGAGTTTCGCAGCTGTCGAAGTTCTTGTCACAAATGGCGCAATCCGTGCGCTCCATAACCTTAGCGGGAGAGCGCTTGGTGGCACGCGTGGGCTTGGCTAAAAAGGCAAGGTTTAAGATCAAAGGAATAGCTTAGGGAAAGGATTATCTTACGTGTGTGAACGCCCACATCCATGTGCTCCTTGAGCTGTGCTGTGCTCCGGAAATTGCGCTTGCATTCGGTGCAGGAGAACACGGGGCGCTTCTGGGAGGAGTGCTCCTTCACATGGCGCTCAAGTCTAGAAGGTTAAATTATACGTTTATGTATAAATATGTATCCTTCTATATCTTGGTTGTTGAGCTACTTACTGCTTCTGCGTCTTGAACTTCTCCTCGCACTGATCGCAGCTAAAGGGACGAACGTGGGTCTTGGAATGCGTGCGCAGCTGGGTAGCCTGGATGAAGCTCTTGCCACACTCCTCACACTTGTGCGGACGCTCTCCCGTGTGACGTTTCATGTGGCGATTGAGCACCTCCTTCACAGCAAAGGCTTGATTGCACTGCAAAGTGGCAATGTCAGTTATTAATCGAGATTTTAAATTATTAAAAGCAACCTTTACTCACCACAGTGCAGCTGTAGGGCTTCTCGCCCGTATGATAGCGACGATGCTTCTTAAGAGCCACCAAAGCTGAGAACTTCTTCTCACAAAGATCGCAATCAAAGGGCTTCTCGCCCGTATGCGTGCGGATGTGAATGCTGCGTGAGATAAACCATTAATTTCTAGTAATGATTTGAGGAGCAGGCACTTACTTGAGTGTGGACAAGCTGTAAAAGCAATTCTTGCAAACGTGACACATGTACTCCGGCTTCTTCATCACCTGCGTGCCCAAATGCTGCTTCAAGTGCGATCGCAGGTTGTCCAAACGATAAAAAACGCGATCGCACACCTTGCAACTCATGGTATCGGTCTCATTGGCCGAGCAGGCCGAGTACTTTTGATGGCGCTTCAGGTGATAGGAGCGCGTGAAATCCTTTCCGCAGATCTTGCAGGCGTACGGTTTGCCCCGCGACTTGTGCTGTTCCTCGTGCAGCTTGAGCAAGGCCTCGCTGCGCAGATTGGCATTGCAGATGGAGCAGGGAAAGTCACAGAACTCCGAGTGTGTGATAAAGATGTGCCGCTCGTAGCTGGTCTGAGTTTTGAAAGACTTTGGGCAGTCCGGACAGTTGATGTGCCCCAACTGGAGAAGGAATAGGATAAAGTAAGTCCTACAACACTTAATTAAATACCAAAACAAACTCACATGGAAGGTGTCGTAGCTTTCGCTGCAGCAGAAACAGATATCCTTTTTTTCCATCACCACTGCATCCTTCTCGATCTTCTCCAGGTTCTTGAGCATGTCCGCTTTGCGCAGATGGTAACCGCTGTCATAGCGACAGAACTCTAAATGCTTTGTGAGGCTCTTAATGCGCCGGAACGTTTTGTAGCACTTGCCGCACACATGTTCCACAATCTCCTTCATCCCGCCTTTGCCAGATTCGTCCTTATCCGCTTCGCCGCCTTCCTCCTCCTCCTCCTCCTCGTCGTTTTCGGTGACCACAATTTCTTCCTGGCCATTTGTTCGTTCCAAAGTTCCGGGCACCACCTCGTCGTCGTCGGCCAGTATGAAGGCAATGGTCTCGGTCTCCTCGTTATCTGACGTCACCGCACGGTGCGCCGTGGTAACAGCTTGCTGCTTGCTGTTCTCCAACTTGACCGCTTGAAGCACGTAGTGATCCATCTTTTGCTTCTTGCTTTGCGAGGGACGGAGCTTGGTTTCCAAGGCTGTATTGACGGTGGTCGAAGCAGGCCGCTTTACATTTAGGATCTTCACAGAGGTGGAGGTGGCGGAGGTGTTGCGTTGACTGGTCTTAGATGTGGAGCCACGTTTCTCGGTCTTTGGCAGGCCCAGAGCCTCGTCATTGAGTATTTTGATGCGGGATCCCCCTCCCCCGCCACCGCTGTTGCGCTTTTCCGTCTTGGTTGGTGAAACAGACTGAGACGCTGCAGCGGCCTCGTTTAGGAGCTTCATACGCGTGGCGGGGCGCGACGATTCCTTTGGCGGCGAGACGTTCTCCACGCCCAGAATCTTGATCCCGCCCTTCTTGTCCTTGGACGCGCTCATCGTGTCCAGCTCAGAACCTGCAGGAGATGAGGGGTACAGGTAAGATAAATTCGGAGTCTGCCGGAGTCTGGGGATTATTTGCAAGGATCAGTGGCCCGGGATTTAGTCTACTTTTAGGCACGTGATTTATTGAAAATTTGATTTTGCCAGCGTCAGCAACGCCTAGAAGCAGTTCACAGAAGATCAAAATGGCGGCCAGCACGAATAATCACACAAGTGCGAGAGGGACGACTCTACCCTAGGCCCCTCGACGCACAGCAACAAGTTTTTGACTCGCTCTCGCCGCCTCGTCGTCTTCTCAACAAAATATAATACAAAAAGTGGTTGAAAAATTCTAATACACACAAGGGAATTCGTTGCATACTTTTTAATATTAATTATTTTGCATAGCTCAGAAGGATGTGACGATTTTGACCCGGCTCCTGTTCCTACACCTTTCTCAATTCTGTCCCCGAAGCCACGAAAGAAAGTGATGACCCGCAAACCGAAGAGCAAAGCAAACGCCAATTGCAAAGTCATCAACTGGGTTTTCTCGGTCACAGTGGGCGGGTACTTATCAAAATGTGTGTCACTAGGGGGTTGGGGGTTTAATCTTGAATATAATCACACTTTACCTTGTTTTATGTTTATGGTTTAAAACACAACGCGGAGACTGCAAGCTAGAGCTGTAAAATTTTCGATTGGACTATCTCGATGTCTTTGAGTTGGCCGGCATGATCGATTGCTCAACTATCGATAGTAATATATTCTAATATTAATTTTAATTTGTCGGATGTTTCGACCGAAAATATATTTTTAAAGACATTTTATGGTAGCCATTGTCTTAAAACACTGAATTCATCGTATTTAAAATATATAAAAGCAGTCTTATTTTTATGGCCAATTATCGATGTATCGATACCATTCAAAGTCTCACCTCTATTCTGCCGAGCCGCTTGTTTTCGGCCGAACCAGGTAAATAAATCAGTAAAACGTAAAAATAAGTGGTAAATAAGCTTTATTTTATAACCTACTAGACGCTATGACCACCGCCTTCGACGCTGCGCACACGGAGGGCCCCGGCTTCGTGGGAATCCGTTTCTGCCAGGAGTGCAACAACATGTTGTACCCCAAGGAGGACAAGGAGAACAAAATTCTGCTGTACGCATGCCGAAACTGTGACTACAAACAGGAGGCGGACTCCAACTGCATTTACGTTAACAAGATTATGCACGAAATTGACGAGCTGACGCACATTGTGCCCGATGTGATATCGGACCCGACGCTGCCGCGCACCGAGGACCATGCCTGTCCCAAGTGCTCGCATCGGGAAGCGGTCTTCTTCCAGGCGCAAACCCGGCGCGCCGAAGAGGAGATGCGACTGTATTATGTGTGCACCAACCAGAATTGCACCCACCGCTGGACAGAGTAATTGTAGCCCTAAGTGTAAGCAATCAAAGTAAACAACAAATCAATATCAATATCAATATCAAAACGATCTACATCTAGTATTTCTAAATGGGGCGCCGCCGCGTCAATAGTGAGCCGCAAAGAGGTCTCACTTGGTGCTTAATATGTGATTGGCACAGCTGTAACAACTTATTACAGTGAATGTTGGCTTGGACCATCTTAAATTTTCAAAAACAGTAGTAGAGATTCATATTATCCTCTATACAGGTTTTCAACAAAACTCGTTATAACTATACATATATTTGGATTCGAAATATGATTTACAAAGAATGACTTTAGTCAGCTAGAAATAACTTAATTGTTCGTTTAACTTAAAAAATTCTTTGAAGTCAAAATATTTAATTTAAGACCTACAAAAAATTTAACCTCCAAGAAAATTATTTGTCATATATTTATAATTTTTAGATCACTAGATCAAGATCTTTCAGACTTCTTCAGAAATATCCACTGTAATTGTTGTCGAGCGAGAAACGCGAATCATTCCTCCGAGCGCATGCAAAATTCCAGATTTCTCACACGGTGACAATAAATTCTCCATATATATATATCATTGTTCTGCTGCCTCTAATCGAAGCTGACAAAAAAATAGGGGCGGAACGAGACGTAGAAATGATGGGACAAGTTTGTTGTGCGTATCAAGCCGATTCGGCGGATTCTGTGGACTTGGCCCGCCTCGCTAAGTTTAGTATGCGCTTAGAACTTGGCGCGACGTGTTGATTGAATCGCTTAGAAATGTGCTAGAGCTAATAACGATATATCCGTAAATCGAATATAAAACAAGTAAACAGGAATCCCCAGCAAGCGGGTATTAAATAATAATATAAAATGGCCAAGCCAAGGTCGTCGGCGGATGCCTCCGCTGCCGGAGCCGGAGCAGATGCAGAGCCCAAGCTTAATTATTTCCAGAAGCTATGGCGCTACCGGCACTACCTGGTCATCGAGCCCTTCTTCTTCTTTTACTTCATGGCCTCCATTTTCAATGCGGTGGCCATGCAGAATTTCCCCCTGGAAAAGGCCTGCCGGGTGAACTTTGGTTACAACAAGTTGGTCTGCGACACAATGCTGGACAAATCCGAGCTGGGCATCGAGTGCGACGACTTTGACTTTGCCAATACCACGCTGGGAGCCACACCCGACCTGGCTGGCCTGGTGGTGGCATCGCCCGGCTTCAACTATACCGTCTGCAAGGCGGAACTTGAGGCACAGATCCTCGCCTCCGATGTCTCCGGAAAACGGGCTCCGATGGGTAAAGAGAAAGATATTCGCCATATATCATCTGCTCATAACACGAGTCGTTCATTAAATATACGCGTTTGGTGTTTGGCATTAGCATTGCTTAAAAAAATTCAGGTTTGTGCTTAAATTAAACTCGAATTCCCATCTTAACTCCTCTGCATATTAAGAGACGCGCTTACCCCTTTTGGGATGCACAGAGAAAAATAATAATGATGGACAATTCGCCAAATAGTTATTTTATACATTTGAACATTGACATTATTATAAGACTACTCACTCCCTAATTTCCAATAATATTTTAAAATCGTACTATTTAGCTAAAATTGTATTGTTTAATTTTAAAGACTGTATCAGGAACAACTGAGAACACCAAACGGAAAACACTAAACTTTTTAATTATTGAAATTTCTCAAAACTTGTCTTCAAAATTATTGTTTATTTTGCTTTAAGTGTACATTTCTTGACCAGAAGGAATCCATGTCTTTTGATGGATGTCGTCGGAAATTAGCAGTTATCCGAACATCTAATTACCTTCTTTAATTGATTCGCTCGTGAGTTCGAGTTCTCTTTCGCCGTCTGATGGTGCTAAAAAAAGAAGGAAAAAATTCCCCATTATATCGTTTGGTGATTAATTTAGAGCCGCGTCGTCGAGAGAGGCCTTAGCCTAGTAGTCGCTGCTGGATCGTAATCGTAATCGCAATAGCTCAAACTTCGAAACCTGTTCTTACATCGATTTGTGTTCGACTTTCGTGGGTTCACTGCCATTGTCATTGCCATTGCCATGGATAATATTATTATTTAAGATTCCCAATCCAGCGAAATCATCGACCGAATATATAATTTGCATAATGCTAAACGGAATTCCGGTTCTCAGAGTCACACTTGAAACGTCTTCTCTTCATGTTAGATAGCTTAGAAGTTATTGCTTAGATAATTATAATTACTTTTCAATTGCATCAGGGTTCGATAATGGCAGCTTAAAATAATTGAAAGATCATGTCATACATAGAGATTGCAACTAGTATTATTCTATCACTGCACTTTTTCACTAAAATAATGCCTACCGTAAAATCTTTAACGATAACAAGTTCCAATTGAAGAACAAGTTCTATGCATATCTAATGAATTTGGCTTAAAGAAATTTTATCAAAACTCGCTAAGCGTGTTTAATTATAAACAAAAAACAATAGGATTTTTAAAAAAGACTCAACACCATAAACATTTCATAAGAATAGAATTCCTTTTATTAAATTCTCAAGGTAGTTGTAAAGTTATTATGTGTGTGAAGCTTCTTGGTATTTATTGACTATATAACAATTGTTAAATAGGATCTAGTATCTTAACCTTGACCTATTACTAAATATATCTAATTTTGCATGAGTTAATATTCTTTAGCTAATTACGATGAGAATTTATATACGGATTCCCAGCTCCTCTTGCTTTTTCTGCTAACCAGCTTAATTTTCACAAACGTGTTTTTAAACATTTTTGGCACTTCCAAGTTTATATTCCGCTAGATAAATATGAGAGGTATAATATTAAATTTGTTTAGATTTTAAAAATCATATTAAAAGACCCTAAAAATTCAAAGAACCTTTAAGTTTAAATATCTAATCGATCTAATAAGAATGTATAACACTGTATAACTAATACATGAAGAGCTCATTATAAAGTCAATTTATAATGAGCTCTTGATGTATCTCTGACCTGCCTGTAGAATCTGCTTTTTCATATTTTGGAAACACCTTCCAAGTGTTACATATTTATAATTAATAGTTATATATTTTCTCCACAGCTGCTATCTTTCCCTTGATTGTCCTCCTGTTCGCTGGAGGTTGGGCTGATCGGTACAATAAGCGAAAGCCTTGTATGATTATGCCCATTGTTGGAGAGGCCTTGGGCTTTACTTGTAAGTTTTTTAAATTCCTTTAAAGAGATTCCTTTTTAATAAAAAAATACCTACACTCTTTAGGCCAGATCATCTCGTCGATCTTTTTCGATTCGCTGCCCATGGAGTTTGGCGCATATTGCGAGGCAATAGTGCCGGCACTCTTTGGAGGATTGACATTCTGTTTAATGGCCATCTATAGTTATATTACCATTGCTACACCGGAGGAGGATCGCGTTTTTCGGTTTGGCATCTTCGCCATGTTTGTCACAGGAGTTCCCTTTATAGGTCAACCAATTAGTGGATTATTATTCACTACACTTGGCTATACCTGTGAGTTGAATTGAGCTAAGAGGAATACAACTTCTTTCGTTTTTTGTGACTAACCTTTTCTTCTATTTTCCAGGGTCCTTTGCCACAGCCATCCTTTTCCAGATTATAGCCATACTATACATCATCTTCTTTGTGAAGGAGGTAAAGACCACGCCACAGACCACAGCTACAGCCACGAATGGAACCCAAGCGAATGAGCCACCGCCACTACCAACCACCTTGCCACCTAAACAAGGCGCCGAGAATATGGCCTATGAAACCACTAACGTGGACGAGCTGCAGGGCAACAAGAACGTCAACTTCCAACTAACACCGCACATGGTGGAGCCCAAGGTGGAGGCTGTGCCGCCAAGGAAGTCCCTGTTTAAGGAACTCTTCGATCCCACTCTCGTGATTGACTGCATCAAGTTCCCGCTGGTGAAGCGACCCAATAACGGACGCATGCTGCTCATCCTGCTGCTGTGCGCCTACTTTCTGACTGTGGGTCCCGTTTCCGGGGAGAACGACTACTGGTACCGGTTCACCCTGAAGAAGCTCTCGTGGAACGGCAACGATTTTAGCATCTACCTGACCCTGTCCAGTGGAGCGGCCCTGGTGGGCACCTTTATCGGTACGGCCATTCTGAGCAAGCTGCTCAAGGTGTCCGACTCCATGATCGGCATGCTCTCCGCTTTGTCTATCGTCTGCTCCCGCGTCCTGTTTGTGAGTGTCCTCGAAACATTGTAAAATTGTATGTCCACGATTTGATTTCTTGATTTTCCCAGGCCTTTGCCAGCACCACTGCTTCCTTTTACGTGGCCGGAGTGGTGGACATGTTCGTCAGTCTACGTGTGATTGCCATTAAGACCGTCGGTTCCAGCATTGTGGCTGGTGATGAACTGAGTAAGTTACATATTTTTTTTATAACTCTATTACATTTATATATATAACTCTATTATATGATATAGTCGTCCGATTTTCATAAAATTAAAATCAGAATTCTAGAATAATTAAAAAGGGCTAACACAAATTTGATGAAAATCTGTTAAAAACTGAAAAGTTCTAATTTTTTTATTACATTAATTTATCGATCGTTCCTATGACAGCTATATGATATAGTAGTCCGATTTTCATACAATTTTACACAAAATTGTAGAATATTATAATAAGGTTATATATTTTTTCACAAAATTTTTTGATTGTTCCTATGACAGCTTTATATATACATATATATAACCATATTATAATATTCTACAATTTTGTGTAAAATTGTATAAATATATATATATATATAAATACATAGTCCACCGATTCGCCATGGTCCGATTTATATAGTAGTAAAATTATATAGACGAACAACTTTATAGTTTTATTCAAATAGCTTGCTCTTAAATTTGTTTCAATACAAATCTCGCACATATAATTCTCAACTGGTTCTAACATCCCCGAAACGAAGTGACTTCTGCCGACCAAGTCTTAGAAATGTGTTGTGTTACAAAAGTTGCAAGTCATTGTTTATTGGTATTCATAGCTACTTACTGGTCATTGTTACTTACTGGTCATAGATACTTCCTGGTCAAAGTTACCTACTGATCAGAGTTAATTGCTGATCATATTTACTTAATGGGTACACTACTGATGATAGTTACTTAATGTTCATTGATATTTACTGGTCATAGATACTTTCTGGTCAAAGTTACTTACTGTTCCATAAAACCATAAATAAATTCTGAAGAATAAAGCAAAACTGAACTTTAATGACCATCAATTTATTAATAATATTTTTTTTTAAACGGGTAATATAAAATTATTTCTTGAATTTTGAAATTTCAGGCAAAATGTACTCCATCTTTGGGATTAGTGAACCGATTGCCCAATTTATTTTCCCACCCATCTTTAGTGAGATCTATAAAAGCACCGTGGACACATTTCCCGGTGCTATTTGGCTCTTTGGCGAAGTCTTCTACATTCCCAATGTCCTGGTCTTTGTGTAAGTTTTCTATACAAACATTTGGCCAAGGAAAGTTTATTAAATTATCAATTTTTACAGTGTTTGCTACTTCCTTTTGAGACGACGGAAGGCGACGGGTGAGAAGAATGCCGTGGAGCTGGAGCAAAACGCAGTTAATGGAGCTAATGGTTCCAATGGTGCTAACCGCACAAATGTGCCCGATAGTGAAATAACTAGTCTCTAAAGTAATTTATGACAGTCCCGTGTTGCTTTTATATATTTAATTACATTAAAGAAAACTGTAAATTTTTGTATTTATTGATATTTTTATTTCCTAAAGTCCCAGCATGGCTTACTTCCTCCTCCGGGACTGAAGGAGCAAGAAGCAAAAAGATGCCTTGAAGCTGAATCAGATTTAGCTTGGATTAACTAATCAGTGTCCTGCAATTGGAGGAGCTCTATTTTATGCATGAAAATAAAATAAATGTTTATTTTTGGAAACACATAAATCCGCTCGTAAATCAACTTATCCGAAGGTGAGCTTTGAACGGACACTTTGCTGCCCCTGGCACTGGTCGCAAATTACTTTTTTCGGCCACTTTTAGTTTAAGCCTTTCACTTTTCCATACCCCCGGCCACCTCCACACCAACTTTCCTTGTGAAAAGCGGGGCAAAAACGGGTAGTTTTCCAATCAGCAAATGCATTCAGTATGAGCAGCCAGCTGGCGCAGAGTGGGCGTGGCCATATGTGTGGAGGCGACTCTGAAACAATTGGATGCTAATAATCCCGGTTAATCTGCGTAAGTGTGTGTTTCTGGGGGCATCGAAGCAAGAATCCCCCGGCGTAGAAGACACCATCATGGCCATGGCCGAGCATCGATATAAAAGCCCAGCCGCCGAGGCTCCTAGGCTCAGACGTAACAGTGCCTCGAACGCGTACCCATCTCTAGTCATCCATTCCCTTCGAGAGTGTCGAGTCCTGTGTACCGGGACTTCCCTTCTCATCCGCGTCATGATGCGTCTCCTGCTGCTGCCTCTGTTCCTCTTCACCCTGTCCATGGCCTGCATGGGCCAGACTTTCCAGTATTCACGGGGCTGGACCAACGGCAAGAGGGCTTTGAGTCCGGCCGCATCACCGCTGCTGGGCAACGGTGGACACTTCCACCGGAGCAATGAGTTGGCCTACACGGATCTCTATGATCTGCAGGATTGGAGCAGTGAGCGGCGATTGGAACGGTGAGTTAATGAATATATGTTTTAAATTTGTCATACGCAATAACTCAAGGCCTAGATTATAAAAGTATATCCTGAGGGAAAGTCCGATTTTAAATATAAAAAAAATACCGTCCTCAATCAAGTTTAAAAACCCGAAATGTGTGGTTTTTTAAAAATTAAATGATAAAAAAGATAAAATATTTTAGTAGATGTGATAAAAGAATAATAATAATATTAGTTTTCAATATTAAATAATAATATTTCCAGTTGCCTGTTACAACTCCAACGCTCATTGATCGGTCGCAACTGCGCCCCCGGCATGGACTTAAACCGCGTTGGGGATGCCGATTCCGGTGATAGCTCCCATCTACTCCCCAGACTCAATGGCAACCTCAATAGTGAAAATGTTCTGTATTCCAACATTAACTCGAACTCCAATCGGCATCGCCAGTCGAACGAGCTGCTCGAGGAGCTGAGTGCCGCCGCCAGTAGCGGAGGAGGAGGCTCATCCTCCGAGCCCAATGTTTTTGGAAAGCATTAGTTCGAATTTCTTTATGTCTATACAAATATTATTCTTAAACTAGCAAAAAGTGCTACAAAAATGTAAAAAAAAGAAACAAAACCATGTTGTTTTATATGTTTAAATTAAATGAGGCTTTTTATTGAAAACTTGAAGAGTATTTTAAATCCGAGTTGGGCACAAAATATAACAAGAAGTACCACTATATCGATTCGAAAATAAAATAACATGTTGTAAGTTAGCTTTTGTAAGTTAGAAAGAGCTTTATGATCATTTTCTATTCATAATCGGAACTGGTAATCTGTAATCAATCTCTAATCTGGTTGCGGGTAAGCCCATCCAGTGAATCGTGCCTCTCCACAGTGAACTGGTCTCAGTTCTCGTTCACACTGCACCATCATCGGATCGGATCGGATTAGTATGACGATCGATTGGCTGACCTTGCTGGCTCTCTTCCTCAGTGCATCATCCAACTGGGCGCTGGAAATACCAAAACACAATTGCTCGCACTTCACCTACCGACAGCTGCCGAGTGGAGAGTGGATCGGGATTTTCCAGGCCCCCAACGCCGGGATCCTTGAGTTCGACTGGAAGGTCTTATTTGCTACAAGCGTAGCCAACCAAGTGAGCGAGGGTCCAAGGTAACGGACAGGGGATACGTATTTGTTTTCAATTCAAACGTGTTGCAGGATAGGATCAGGTTTCTCAAGCACTTTCCCAGCGAAGAAGAAAACCTGGCTAATATACAGAGAGGAGGCAGGGCCCAAGTATTCGCTACTTTGGAGGAATCTGAGAATACATTACCATCGCTTAAAACACTCATGCTGAATAACGTGGTACTGTGTAGCGAATGTGAGTACTATCATGAAACCTTATGAACTTTTTTTGTTTATCCTTCTACATATGTATGTATGTATGTATGTACACCTTACAGATTCTTCTTCCAAAGGCATTGATTTTGCCCTGTTGTCTTGGGTAGTCCAGCAGCCCAAGATCCGGACGGACTTCGAAGAGTGTGGACAGGAGGGCTTCGTGGCGACCCAGCATGGGGGTGACCTCGTCACAAGGGGCCAATACCCTTGGCTGGCGGCCCTTCTCGAAGGCAATTCCTCAATTACCTACAAGTGTGTGGTCTCTGTCATCTCCAAGCGAACTGTGATCACAGCGGCCCACTGCATCTACGGCAAGCCCGCCAGCCAGCTGTGGGTGTATTTGGGACGGCACGACCGCAACCAGATCCTGGAGGACGGGGCCGAACTGGTCGGTGTGTCCAATGTGCTCACTCCACTCCAGTACAGCGGGAATCCTGTCCCAGACTCGGACGTGGGCCTGCTGGTGCTGAAGTATCCGATATGGTACACTAAGTACATTCAGCCCCTCTGCCTGTGGAGCTCTGATTTATCCGTGCCAGCGAGAGAAGGGGAGACCGGTTCGGTGGCCGGATGGGGATTCGATAGGTCTGGCCTTAAGACACGCTATCCCAAGGCGGTAAGTGTGCGGCTGGTGGCGAGGGATCAGTGTCTCATTAAGATGAAGAAGGCCCAGTACTTTATAACCGAACGGACGGTTTGTGCTGGTAACTCCGAGTCACAGGGTCCTTGTTTTGGCGACTCTGGAGCAGCGTTGATTGTCCTTCGAAATAACCGCTGGGTAATGCGTGGTATAGTTTCCATATCGCCAAGTCGGGGAGAAAACTGTGACCTGAGCAATTACGTAATCTACTGTGACGTGTCCCAGCATCTCGGTTGGATCGAACAGAACATTGTCAAGTAATGAGTATTGTAATAATAACTAAAATGTCTAACTCAAGGGGCTAAATATTTTGTTAATCGGTTTGGTTCCCATCGAAATTGACATGGGTAATCCGGATAGGAATATAGATCGAAAGAAAAAATCCGATATGATGAATCGCGCTCAATATTCGATAATAAATGGCAAAAACTTATAATTCGAAAATTGATTTAACATTAAAATATTTATATTAGTTATATTATTCAATTTGTTTTCCTTTTTTCGATTAAACGGGCCGATATAGCAAACAGAATATTAACTATAGATTTTGTGCTAAACTGTAATAATATCGACTTATAAATGTCGTTTGTTTAAAGATTCAGTTTAATTTCATTTTAAAAATTCTAAATTATCAAGCAATAAAAATACACAATAAATACTGGCTTACTGCTCGCTCCCTCCAGGTGCCTTGGGCTACATTTCGATGTCTCGGAGCACACTATCGCTGATATTTTGCAGATCATCCTCGTCGCCTTGATCAAAATCGAATTTGCGGGACATATTTAGGAAATTCATGTTATTCTCCGAGTTTAATTCGGCGTCAAGGGACTGTGGACCCTGCGAAGAAAATTGTAAGAGGTACAATTAGTTAGTGTCGTTTTAGGGGATTACCACCACTCACATCAATGGTTACGTCGTTGAGAAGTATGCGAGGAGACATTCGTGGAATTCCCTCAGTAGGACCAGTTACCAATGCATCCAGTCTTCCCGAAGGCGAAGTGCTATGATTATGCGTATTTCTTGAGGCATTTAGTACCTTCATCACCGCTGCGTTCTTTGCAACCAATGAACTGTTGGTCTCGGAGTTTCGAGCAATGCGTTCAATGCGCGTGCACTCACTGACGTCTGTCGCCGGCGATACAGTCTCTGGTGAGATGGCCAGAGATGGTGAGGCCTCCTCATTGAAGCCAAACGAGGCCTGCAACTCTTTCCACTTGCTGCCCAAGGCGGAAAGATTTGGTTGTGGCGCCGCTCTGGGCTTCGTTGCATTCTTTTGAATGGTACGCAGCATCTGCAGGGGATCATTGATCTTGGATCGGTTCATTGTACTATTAAGATCGTTTCCAGCCGTGGACAGATCAGGATCCTTTGGTTTTCGGGCTGAACGAGGAGGAGCAGGAGCTGAACAATGAAAAAATTGACTGAAAGTGTTCTGTTGTCCGGACAATCAACCTTTGCTTCTTACCCAACAAACTGCTGTTGAATGTTGTCTCGTACTGCTTGGTATTAAAGTCGCCCTGAAGAGCCAGGCGCACTGGAGCGCTGCGTCCAGTGCCGGTAGCCAAATCGATCCGGATGGGCGGCGTTGATATAAACTTCATACCGATGCTTTGGGGGCGACTATCGAAGTGAGGCGTAAGTGGCGGCCGGCTTCCTTGGTTCCCCTGACTTGATTCGGCCTTTTGTTTCAAGATGCCGAGCCGCGTAATCAGATCTTTCTGCACATGGCTGAGTTGTCCCTCGATCTGGGAGACTTCCTCATGCAACGCCTGAAGATCCTTGGAGACGAACGCATTGGACTCGTTGCAGTGGTCGTGGGCATCCAGTTGTTCGGCCATGGACCCGCTTATGCGATTAAATGCGTCTATAAGGGCCTCAACCTTTGAGCCGCCCGGTTGATGGAAGAAGTCTGCCGATGAAAGGGAATTTTGTAATTATTTTTTAATTGAATTGTTATGAACAAATTACCTCCTCCTCCAAAGGCTTCCCTGTCTAGTAATCCTCGCGTGCCGCGTAGCGTCTGCTCCACCTGCTCCTGGCTCTTGTTGTGCTCCGCCTGCTTGGACTGAAAGTGTTCAATGTCCTCCTTCACACCACAGAGAGCCTCTAGCTCTGCCGCCGCCCACTTGGCGGGTTGGTTCACTATCTGCTCTAGGCGACGGCTATTGGTGGCCTCGCATTCGTCCAGGAAGCCTTCATCTAAGAGTTGTGCCTCGGGCACACCGACCTCCGCAGATATGTCAGCAGTGAAGCCACGGATTTTCTGGATATTGTGCCGCAATAGGGACATGTTCTCTTCTAAATCCGTCAGGTACGCCGAGGCATACTCCTTCATCAAAGCGTTCTGACGAGCCATTACTTTGGCACTCTTGGGCGGCATAGTGGGCGCGTCCTGGGCGAGCGCCTTCTCGCGCAGCTTGATCTGCTCTTGGATCACAAAGCTGACCAGCTCGAGCAGGAAATTGATGAATCGCATGCCGCCAGGCATCACCACCAGGTAGGACTGAATGTTGGGCCACCACTGCAGCTGGTGCTTCTCTTTCAGGTGCTTCAGGTACTCCACCGTGCTTGCGCGGAAGTTCGCCTCGGCCTTCTTGTCAGTGATGGGCCAGAAGAAGCGGCGCTTGAACTCAGCGGGGTCCAGCAGGCGAAAGAGGTAGTGCATCACGTGAAAGAATGCCAACTGGTTGGGCTTGAGGAACATGTCCCACGCGAGCAGTTTGCGCAGCTCGTCGGAAGCTGGGTGGACCAGGGCTAAGCCCTGGAGCTTTCTGTACAGTTTCTCGCTGTGCTCCTTCTCCTCCGCCTTCCAGGTAGCTGCGCGATCCATGATCTCTTGTCCTTGTTCCTCGTCCTAAATGCAAAGAAACTGGTTGAGAACTACATATGCTTTGCGTTGTTTTTTTTATTTTTTACCTTCGCAAAATGGCGGTTTATTTTGAAGTTTTCCTCTTCTTTATTCGACTTAGTGTGACCAAATCGTAAAATTAATAAGGGAAACCTGGCAAATTAAGATGTTCTATTTATTGTTTTATTTATAAAATTTTAGCGATTTTTACTTATTAAATTATTTTATGCAGTTACAATACCCATACAAAATTACTAATAGTTTGAATTAACTTAAAAATGTTTAGCCAAAGATGTCCAAAAATAGCTACAAAGTAATAGCTAGGACCATCTATTGTAAACATCTATAAAACTTTTTTGACCGTTTGCTCTCTGGTCACACTAATAATATTTTTTTCTTCGCTCGGTTTGTTGCTGCTGGACGAATTTATTTATATTTTAAGGAATTTGGTAATTAATTGCTCATATTGGACGGAAGTAGACGCGTTGACAATCCTGAATCGATCAAGATAGTGAAAAAGCGAGGTGTTTTAACAATATTCCGACCGCCGCCAACCGTTGGCATCCGGGTCCAACGTAGCACTTTCTTTTTGTGTCTGCGTTCGGCGGTGAAAAATCAATATGTTCGTTGGGTATAGAAATCGAATCTGCGACCGTTTATACTATATAGATTACAGATATCGCGTCGACGAGAAGGGGTGGACAAGTGGACGTCCGCCCCAAAAGCGATAATCAAATCAGAGTGAATATATACATATGTTTTTATGACAAAGCCGCGATTCGTTCCAGGAACGGGACGAATGGGCAGATTGCAGCCGTGGTTTTACGTGACCGTGAATCATAAATACATACATACATACACATACAATTTAACTGAGACAGTGCGGCGCATATATAAACATATATATATATATATGTAGATACATAAATATAATTAAACGATTATTGGTCCTTCGCATTCGCAGATACCAGGCTGCCAAGATGGGTTCCCTGTTCCGGAGCGAAGAGATGGCACTGTGCCAGCTCTTTCTGCAAAGTGAAGCGGCCTACGCCTGCGTCTCGGAGTTGGGCGAGCTTGGATTGGTTCAGTTCCGCGATGTGAGTATTAAGCACTACTTGAATTTAAGATTTTTATAGGTGCTCTACACATATGTTCATAGATGTATATATTTATAAAGCTACAGGAATTGTGCGACTTGTTTATGGACTCATTAGTAGCGTCTCCTAACATTTCCTGGTTCATTTAATTTCAAAATTTATAGTTTGTGGGTGGAACTTCAATACTAAGATTCTGGTACTTCAGTACCTTTCACTTGTCTGAATAATAAAGAATTCTCCCTTTAACCCATACAGCTCAATCCGGATGTGAATGCCTTTCAGCGAAAGTTCGTTAATGAGGTCCGTCGGTGCGATGAAATGGAGCGCAAGCTGCGCTATCTGGAAAAGGAGATCAAGAAGGATGGCATACCCATGCTGGACACCGGCGAGAGTCCCGAGGCTCCTCAGCCTCGTGAAATGATTGATTTAGAGGTGAGTGGGACTTAAAAGAGTTTATGGGTATTACAAAATACACAAAAGGTACAAAGTTTTGTAAAAAAAAATATACCCATATGAAATTGATACATATATTGATCTCTCTCAACTGTCTTGCTAACCGCTTACTTACCTTGTATGGCTTCCGTGCCCTTCTTTCCTACCAGGCCACCTTTGAGAAGCTGGAGAACGAGCTGAGAGAGGTGAATCAAAATGCTGAGGCTTTGAAGCGCAATTTCCTGGAGCTGACCGAGCTAAAGCATATTCTTCGCAAGACCCAGGTCTTTTTCGATGAGGTGAGTGGTCGCAATTAAGTGGGCATTGACAGCTAATTTATGGCGGAGGCTTCCCCACTAATATTACCGATCGGCAAACCGATTTCGAACTAACATATATGGCAGCCGTAGAGGCTTAAGCCAGGCCAACCAACTAACCATATATTCTTAACAATAACATGAGACACAAGTGTGGCAGTCACGGCTTCCCCTCCACCCTTAACCACACACACTCTCCAAACAGTTTAATCCCCGTCCCCGTCCAAGTCCACTCTCTGCATGAGACCTTTGCTGCTCCTATTCCGCTTCCCCCAAGGCAAACCAAAAACACAATGTGCTTTTTTATCCCCTCTCAGTTTGAGTTTGTACAAATATTTCCTAGTTGTGCGTTTGATATCAGTTTGTTGATGGTTATTGTTTCTGTTCTATTATTCTATTATTTTGTTTTCTAAGAAACAGGCAAAAAAGGGAAATGTATAAAAACTAATAGACTCTGAAAAGTCAAATATCATGCATTTTATACCAAACTCGACGGTTTTCCAATATAAATCATCTCTTTGAAATATTTTACGACTACAAAAGTTTTAAAACTGTTGTTCATTTACTAAGAAACTACATGTTCATTTATTTTATATTGCTAAAATATATATAAATATAATAAATAAATAACAAGAATGGAAGCTTACTTCGGCACGCCGAAGTTTATATACACTTGCAGATTGAACTTCGAGCACTAGGAATGAATGCAATATAAATTATTTATATTTACGTTAAAAAACAATGAAGTAATGCCTGCTTTCATTTCATGCACCTATACATTTTATATTTAAAGTTTTACATTCGCAGTTAAATAGTAGTCCGATTCTAGAAATTCTAGATTAATATATAATGGCTATATATCAAATTTGATGAAAATCGGTTGAAAACTGGAAAAGTGATCATTTTTTTCTTAAAATTTGTCTAACGTCCCTATGGCAGATATATATATGTATATATATAGTCCACCGATTCGCCATGCCCTGACTTATATACTAGTAAAATTATATAGAAAAATAACTCCATAGTTTCATTTAAATAGCTTGCTCTTAAATTTGTTCCAAAACTGATCTCGCACATGAGTGCATATGATTCCCAACCAGTTCTAACATCCCCGGAAGGAAGTGACTTCTGCCGGCCAAGTGTCAGAAATGTGTTGTTACAAATGTTGCAAGTCATTGTTTATTAGTGTTCAAAGTGAGTAATGGATCATACATAGTTTCTGGTCATAGATACTTAGTGATCATAGTTACTTACTGGCATAGATACTTAGTGGTCATAGTTCCTTAATGTTCGACTCGACTTTTAATGCTGAACAAGAATATATATGTATACCTTACATGATCGGAGGTGACTCCTTCACTGCGTTGCAAACTTCTGACTGAAACTATAATACCCTGCAAGGGTATATAAATAATTAATATATAAAGGATAAACATGTTGGAAATTTACACAAAATGAACTGTTAAAATTATATACTTTTAATCCACAAATAATTGCTGTTTTCAATAATCTTAAAAGTAAAAAATTTTATGAGTGCCTGGAGCCAGATATAGCGTCGGCATAAAAATATCATACGCATCTTATGGTTCTGACCAAATTACATTAAAAGAAGGTTTTTTCGTTTTTTCTTTTGGGCTCACCTTATTCTTTCCCATACACAAATGTTTATAAATATACCTAGATGTATGTAATTATGTGCCAGCTTTATTATTTACCTATTATTGATATATTTGGTTATTTTATTATGCGTTTTCTTTACGTTTTTGTTTTTCCATCATCAATCGATCAATCGAATCAATCAACCCAATCCCGACCCCTGACGTTACAACAAAAAAACACACACTGCAAAATGCACCACATGAAAAAACACCACACTCTACTACCGCCTCTGCCTCGGCCACCTGCCACCTGCACATTTTTGGTTTGGTGTGTGTGTGGACCAAGTCGGTGCCCACGGTTTACAAATCGAGTGGCGCAACGTACTCATCCAGCAAATATCGGCGATATCCGCAGATGGCCGACAACCAGAACGAGGACGAGCAGGCGCAGCTGCTAGGCGAGGAGGGTGTCCGAGCCAGCCAGCCGGGACAGAATTTGAAGCTTGGGTAAATATTCAAAAAGGACGCTGAGATATGACCGGACTTGGGGGAAACTAAATCTAAACTCAGGCCAAGACCAAGACGCGCTCTCGCTCTCCGTCCTCCTGCTCTCCTCCTCCACTCTCACTCTTTCGCTGTTTTCGTCGCTGTTGTTGTGTTCCATGTCCTTTCCCCCTCTGTCGATGATAGGCTATCGAAATTGATCTCAAACATAAAGCACACATAACTTTCGGTGTCGGTGTTTCCATATGCTAAATATATATGTATAATCTATCCACTCCACCCCAAAATCCCACTTCCTATCCCCCAAAAACAATCTTAATACGGATGCGGTTCTACTACTATTCAGTACTAACCCCTTATCCGAGTGCCAACTCGGAGCGTATGAATGAACTTTTGCCCAAAAATACCATTACCAATTTCTAGCAAGAAGGCGGCGTAAACCAAACGACCGAGTCGATGACCCGCGCCTTAATTACCGACGAGGCGCGCACCGCCGGTGCCTCCATGGGTCCTGTTCAGCTAGGGTATGTATCCAGCATCCAGCATCGAGACGTTTGAATCCAAGATTGGGCAGGCATCGCCATAGACCTTTACACTAAGAACTCGGTTTTTGGGTGGACAAATAGTTGTATTGCTTATTAATTATTAAATTTCCAAGATGTGTTTAGGTAACAGAAGTTTATAAAGTGCTTAATGAGAAATCAAAGTAATATTCCTTGGGTTCTACGGAAAATATAAAAATTTAATAATATGAACAAATTCTTAACTTTGCGAATGGAAATTATAATTGTTTTCCACAACAGAATATATATACTATATTAATATCTAACTTGAATCTATTTTTTATTCAGTACAATATTGTAGTCTATAAAGAACTTATCACAAACTTAGTTTTAATGTTGCAATATTAATTATTGCTATAAATCAATTTTGAATATGTTTTTTTTATCGTTTTGTGTCGACATATCTAAGTGGACTTTTCCTCTCGATCTATATTCCTAGACTCAATAAAATCATAAGGTTTTAAGCTATGTATTCAATTATTGAGCTATATATTAATGTTTAGATACAAAATATAGTTAGAAATAGTGTCCACCCGAGGGAAGCTTTTACTGTAAATATTTTTTATACGTTCTTTAGCTCCTAACCAAATGAAATGCCACACAAAATTATTGCTTTACTTGCCGCCAAAACTAATCTAATGCTGCGCACCGAGCTAAGACTAACTAAAAACCATGCCAACAACCATTTGTTCCATCCAGACCAGCTTGAAGTCTCTTTCGGAGTTTCTCAAGCAATAATTTTCTGTGCCAAGTTGTGCAAAACAAAAATGATATCAAAAACTAAATTAAACGTCGTTCTCTTCTTATGCTCCTCTCTCTTCCCCCCAAAAACAAAACAAAAAAAAATTAAATGTGTGTATTTAGTTACATGGAGAAATCGAACGAACGTGAGGATTTTATGCCATGGTTGGTACCCTCTGACCCTACCAGACTAGGCCAATCAATCAGTCGTACAGCAGCGCTCATCAATCGTATCTGTATCCGTATCCTCCGTATCTGTTAATCAATCGATCTATCAGCTGTATATATAGAGACATCTGTCATTGGCTTCGCTCGCCTCGCCTTGCCTTGCCTTGCCAAGTCACCCTGCACCGTCCCGCATCTCGCCCAGAACTCAGTTGTCCACATAACCACTCCATTTATCCCAGGGATCCTTCCCAGAGTCTCTCATTTAACCCGTTTCCCAGATTCCCGCTCTCGCCTCGCGCGTCCATTGGTAACTTGTGCTTGAGAGTTTAGTTTTCCTTATTTGTTTCGTAAATAACAACCGGAATGACTCTGTTTTTGGTACTTTTTCCATTTTAAGGAGCAGTTTGACTAATCCCTCTTTTCCCTTTAGCTTCGTGGCTGGTGTCATTCTGCGTGAACGGCTGCCGGCCTTTGAGCGGATGCTTTGGCGCGCCTGTCGTGGCAATGTCTTTTTGCGCCAGGCCATGATCGAAACACCACTGGAGGATCCTACCAATGTAAGTTACCGGACTTTTCTCCTTCAATATATATTATGACCTAACCTTTCTTTTTACAAATTTTGCAGGGCGACCAGGTGCACAAGTCGGTGTTCATCATCTTCTTCCAGGGCGACCAGCTGAAGACGCGCGTCAAGAAGATTTGCGAGGGCTTCCGTGCCACGCTCTATCCATGTCCCGAGGCCCCAGCCGATCGCCGTGAAATGGCCATGGGTGTGATGACGCGAATCGAGGACTTGAACACTGTGCTGGGCCAGACCCAGGATCATCGTCATCGCGTGCTAGTGGCCGCTGCCAAGAACCTAAAGAACTGGTTCGTCAAGGTGCGCAAGATCAAAGCCATCTACCACACCCTGAATCTCTTCAATTTGGACGTGACGCAGAAGTGTCTGATTGCCGAGTGTTGGGTGCCATTGCTGGATATTGAGACTATTCAGCTTGCCCTGCGGCGGGGCACCGAGAGGTCAGGATCGTCGGTGCCGCCGATTCTCAATCGAATGCAAACGTTTGAGAATCCGCCAACCTACAATCGAACCAATAAGTTCACCAAGGCCTTCCAGGCTCTGATCGATGCGTATGGCGTGGCCAGTTATCGGGAAATGAACCCGGCTCCCTACACCATCATCACCTTCCCCTTCCTCTTTGCCGTCATGTTTGGTGATTTGGGACACGGCGCCATTATGGCGCTATTTGGACTCTGGATGATACGAAAGGAGAAGGGTCTGGCTGCCCAGAAAACGGACAATGAGATTTGGAACATCTTCTTTGGCGGACGTTATATCATCTTCCTTATGGGCGTGTTCTCGATGTACACGGGTCTCATCTACAATGATATTTTCTCCAAGTCGCTAAATATATTCGGATCCCACTGGCACATGTCTTACAACAAGTCGACGGTAATGGAGAACAAGTTCCTCCAGCTGAATCCCAAAGGTGATTACGAGGGCGCTCCCTATCCTTTCGGCATGGATCCCATTTGGCAGGTTGCCAATGCCAACAAGATCATTTTTCACAATGCCTACAAGATGAAGATTTCCATTATATTCGGTGTTATTCACATGATCTTTGGTGTGATTATGAGCTGGCACAATCACACCTACTTCCGGAACAGGATTTCCATGATCTATGAGTTCATACCGCAGTTGGTCTTCCTGCTGCTCCTTTTCTTCTACATGGTACTGCTGATGTTTATCAAATGGATTAAGTTTGCGGCCACCAATGAAAGTGAGTAATTCTTGAAAGTTTAAGAATATATATCTTAGAATACACTTACCCCATGATCCATATTTACAGAACCTTACAACGAGGCTTGTGCCCCCTCTATTCTGATTACCTTTATCGACATGGTTCTGTTCAATACACCTAAGCCGGTGCCGGAAAAATGTGAGGTGTACATGTTCTTGGGTCAGCACTTTATCCAGGTCTTGTTCGTTTTGGTGGCCGTTGGTTGTATCCCCGTGATGCTGCTGGCCAAGCCGTTGCTCATTATGCAGGCACGCAAGCAGGCGAATGTAAGTAGTGACCGCTCCAAAACTTCCAAAGTTCCAGAGTAGTTCATCAAATTCACCACCGAACCTGAGAACACATCAACATCAACATACATCCCTCTGCTATCCACGTTATTATTATTATTACTAACTGCTTCTCGTTTCATTTATGCTTCCCGATTAACAATAAAATTAACAAAATCCCAAAACCAAAATCCACACCAACAAACTAAAAAAACACTCCAATCCACAAATCCAAAGGAAGAGGTTAGTCGTGTCGTTTGTTTGTACATGTCCCAGTCGAACTTGCCTTTTCTTCAAGGTCTTATTTCTAGAGAGGTCATGCATATTGAGCGGAAAAGTCCGACAATGTCATATTGATATATTTTTCTACGGACTTGCACGTTAAATATCGATATGTTATCAATAAAGTGTAGTGTAGCCCCCCTAATCTGTATAGATAAAATTTTAATGAAGTTTTTTTGCTGTTTGAAGTTTAAGGAAGTTCGGCTGTAGTTTAAAAGATTTTCCCCTTGAGGAGTCATCATTAAACAACGCTAACCAATTATTTACTTTCCAGGTGCAGCCCATTGCCGGTGCCACGTCCGATGCGGAGACTGGCGGTGTGTCAAATGGAGGCTCTCACGGCGGTGGCGGTGGCCACGAGGAGGAGGAAGAGCTTTCGGAGATCTTCATACACCAGAGCATTCACACCATCGAGTATGTTCTTGGTTCGGTCTCCCACACAGCTTCGTATCTACGTTTGTGGGCGCTCTCTCTGGCGCATGCCCGTTCGTATTTATATCCTGATCGTTTGGGGTAATAATTAAATTTATTTCTTATTAATATAGAGCTAGCTGAGGTGTTGTGGACCATGGTTCTATCCATTGGACTGAAACAAGAGGGCTGGGTCGGCGGTGTCGTTTTGACCTGCGTGTTTGCCTTTTGGGCCATTTTAACCGTTGGCATTTTGGTGCTCATGGAAGGCTTGTCGGCCTTCTTGCACACGCTGCGTCTGCATTGGTGAGTTGTGGCGGATTATTATTATCTGACTTGAGAGATTTGCTGATTACCGGGTACTTTTTTCAGGGTGGAGTTCCAAAGCAAGTTCTACAAGGGTCAGGGCTATGCATTCCAGCCCTTCTCGTTCGATGCCATCATTGAGAACGGAGCTGCCGGCACCGATGCGGAGTAAACGCAACAAGAATACGAAGCCCAAATTTGGGAGCAAACAACCAAAGCATCTTCAGAGTCTCATTATGCACACACATGAAATTAACAATTTATCCAAATAAGCAAAGATATATCGAGTGTGGAATTTAATTACCAAGTTACAGTAACGCTTTCGCCGTGAATTTATCTATCTCATTTTAGCCCCAAGCAAGCGTTAAGCCTTGCCAATTAATCAATTACTGTTCTTCGTAGACGTGTTTGCCGTGTTTATTAAATGTACTCTATATAACATATAAACATATAAATAAATAGCTACAGCTAACCCCACTGGGGGTTGGCAACAAAAAGCGAAGAATTTAGTTCTTTTGGGGAATGTCTGTTCAAGTATAAATAAGCGTTGTTTATTTAAAAATAAAGTCTAACCAGTCATGAGATCATTTAAAGCTTGAACGAATTTCTGCATATTTTGGGGTTGCGTTTCGTAGGGTCTCAGGGCTTCAAAATCCAACGTGGCCAGCTTAGCGCTCACATCCGTGACCCCACAGTAGTAGATATAGTTCTCAGCGGCCAGTTGCCGGGCCAGCTCCAGTTGATGATTGTCCATTAGCTTATCGTTGATCACAATCAGTCCATATTTCTGGTTGTTCAGTATGTCCATGCAAGTGCCAGCCCCGGCATGTCCAATAATTAGGTCAGCAGCCCTTATATCCTCCTGATTCGGCCGGAATTTGTATTGTTCCACCTGGATTCCGTATCTTTTGCTTATCAGTTGGGTTTCCTCATCCGCCAAAGGCTCTGAATTGCCATGTTGCACCATGAGTTTTCGGCACTTACGTGCCTGCAGAGCTCTGAGAGAAGGTTCCGATTTTACGACGCCTATCAGGTCATCGAATTTTGTGGTGCCCACGGTAATATAAACAGTATTTAACTGCATTATTTCTTAAAAATGTAAATCAAATAAAAACAGCAGTCAGCTGTTTAAAAGTTCTTCTTCTTCTTGAAGTTTTATTTAGTATGACCATGTCCGCCTTCTATTTAAAAATAGTACAAACTAGTAGAGTACAAACACCGGAAAAATTAGCAAGTAATGTGAGCGAAAATAATACAAAAAATAAATAAATCTTAAAAAAAGCATAAATCACTTAATATGCTGCTGGCGTTTTGTGAAACGAAATCGATGATCGATATCGACGCTGAAATCGGTTTTCTCCCAGCTCTAGCCTTTTAGCTCTTTTACCAAACCGTTAAACGTAAAATTTATACTTCTGTATGAAAGTAATAAATATAATCTATTAACATCATAATAATCATAAATACATGAGAAAAAAACAAAATAATAATAAGAAGCTTGCAAATAAAAGTATTTGCTCTCCCTCGCACTCACTAAAGCGAATGTGATCTCTGCTCGCTCACTCATTATGCTGCCGACGAAAGCTTGCGTCTCGCTTTCTGTTTATTCCGTTTTGAACCGTTACCCGTAACGGTTCGCGCTGCTCCCGGGGAAAAAAAATTTTTACAATTCGGGATAAAATCTGTGCTCCGTTTAGTGATTAGTTAGTGCCAGTGATTTGTTTACGTTTAATTCAATTAGTGCAACAAACTTCGCCGTGCTGTGCATAGCTGTGAAGGTGCAGGAGAGTCGTTCCCATCATCTAACGGTAAATTAAATTATTCCCACGTTTCTGCGGTGTGTGCGGGTGTGTACAAGTGTGTGTGAGCGAGCGCCTGCGAGTGTGTAGGTGCCGGCTGCTGTTTGCACGTCGGAAGGTAATTGACTAATCAACACTTCATTTAATTCAGTTTTTATTTCTGCACTCGCGCCGTTTATTTTTTGTTTATTTTGCAAACAATTCTCAAGTTTGCCCGTGGCGGGCGGCATCTGGCAACGATTAATGGGAAAGGAAAAGACAACAACAAACAAATAGACAGACGAAGAGCTTTCCAGCGCCAAGGCATTGGAATAAGACTGGAATTATTGACCATAAACGCTTTACCGGCCCCGAAAACTTTCCTCCCCTAAATATCGCCAATTTATGGCCGATCGCTTGCCAAATTGACTATCCAAATTTGTAGAAATCATATGGGATGCTGCTGCTGCCGCTGCCCCAAATCCAATTAGAGCATCCGTGCAAATTATGCGGCGGACTGGCGATCGCGATCGATTCTTTATATTCCAACCCCCCGCCCTCTTGGCCAATCGTGGACACACCCACACATACATAGGCACACAGAGACACATCAGTCAGCGGTCAATAAATTGTCTCTCTCTTGGATTTTTGGGACGGGGAGAGACAGGGAAAAATAGAGCGATTAAAAATGAATGTCTTAATCGTGGGTGTGTGCAAAGAGCCAATATTTACATGTCTTCTGCTCTTCTTCGTTCTCCATTCTGCGTGTCTCCAGCATCCCCCTACTGTGCCCCCTTGGGAATCGGTCCAATGATTTGTCAATGTTCGCTTTCCCGTACCCCGCAGTTATCCATGTCCTTGTGTTAATTAATCGCACTGCACTGAAAGAAACTGTAAAATGTTATTGGGGAGAATTATAAATGTCAATCCAAGGGTTGTTATTTTTTGTATACATTTTTTATCCTTGTGTTTATTACCCGCACTGAAGTGATCCATCTAAATTAAGATGGAAATATTACAAATTAAAAGCTTAATCAGTTTATTTTATATAAAATATTAGATATTTGAAGACAATATTGTTCCACAATTTTAAATGTTATTATACCAAAGTTTTCCTAAAACACAAAATAATGTTATATTAAAGAGAACCCAACTTGGGGGTTTCGTCAGTGCTTAAACTCTATTCATCGCCATATGCTTGACACATAGCCGGAGGCATTACACGCAGTTTATCAATGAAATATTGCTATAAATTGGATCCCCAACGGGGGCCCAGGGAATCCCATCCGCAAGGGAATGGAATGGAGCCTCAGTGGGTGACATAGTATCATTTGCAGCAGCGAAGGTCACAGTGTCGAATGGGTCCGACTTCTGTACGTAGTTTGGCGGCGGCGTTTAATTGCAGTAATTTGCAAAAATAAAAAAAGAAACAAAGTATATATAACCCGAAGGAGAAGAGTAACGCAGCCCAACAGCATAAGCTGATCAAATTAATGTCATAACTCAATTAGCCCGGCGGACGTATTTGCATGAATATGAGTTGATTTACGACCATGTTGTTGCCCCGCTCAATTTGTGCTTAAACTTTTGCCAATTGATAATAGCAGCGTGCTGGGAGTTCTGTCTGTCTCTTTAGAGGCTCGGCCCGGTCTTCTAGTTAAGCTCACAATCTCTGTCAGATTAAAGGAATAATACTTGTTCATATATATCAGACTAAAGAAAAGAAGGTTCACGGGGGCACTGACATTTTGATAAGCTTATAGATCAAAACAGAAATTTGTTTATATTCCAAATCATCTTCTATCTTATTCACTGCTTCTGTTTGTTTAGCAAGTTTTTGGTTTAAAATGATCCAAATTAATTGTAAATATTTATAGGAAAGGAATGTACATGCTTTAAGACTAAAACCCCCCATGTTTGCTATGTAATTAGGAAAAACCAACGCACTACGTCTCTGATCCGACAGTATCTTGGCTAACTTCAAGCACAACTTCTCTGCTGAATGGGAAATATCAAGAATTTAAATATATACTAAATTTGCGCGACTGACGTTGCGGGAAACACCCCTTGGTATACGCTTAACCCATCTAACCAGATGCATGTCTAGAGAGGTCTCCACACAAAACCAGCCTGGTGACATAAGTGTGTGCTCCTCCAGCCGAAGCCAGTTATCAACTGGGCCAGTAACTTTAGCTGTTTATTATGACCATTGTTCTATCGGTTCTATATGTACAATGCATTGTTAGGAAGCAAAGTGTTTTGAAAGGTTTTTAAACTTTGTTTTGGTTTTAATTTTCAAAAAGCAGATAAAAATTAGTTTATTTCAGATATCTTATTCATATTTAGACCTTAGAAGCAATATACCCGCTTTTAAAACTGGTCATAAATAATCTTCTAAGGCCCACATTATATGAACAATAAATTTTTTGCTATAAAATATATGTATATATGTATAATGTGAGTCGTTCCCTCAGAGAATGAGCTAATGAATCAGTTGCGTTATCGACAAACTAAGCGATTTCCTACTCGAAAACAAAAAACAAAACTGTCTTCGCAAGGAGTCCTTCCTGTGTGGCTTCCCCTTAGCTGGTTGACCGCAAAAGGACACGGCGGCTCAGGGACAAATTGTGCAATTAAATCGAAACCCCCGCAGATGATGATGACACAAGACAGCCAAAGGGGTTGGCCTCGAGGCCAGAGAAACCACTTAAGTGGATCCGAGATTGCAAGGCGAGCAACCTGCAGTTGCATATCACATTACGGAGCTTCCAGGGCGGAAGTGGATGTGGATAGAGAAGTGGAAGTGGAAGTGGTGGAGTGCTTAAGGACTTAACTAACCGACAAGTTCTCCATACTTACAGGATCGGGGATAGGTTACAGTTCAACAGGAAAACTGGTTTCTGTTCAGGACACTTAGTCACCATTTCCGATCATTTTTAATAATAAAATCTTAATTAAATCTTACATTTCAGCCTTCGCCATGGTCGTCAAGGAAATACCCCTCCACGAGAATCTCAGCATGGAGAATCGCTCTACCAATGCTGCCACGCCCACCACGACCACAACATTCTCACGACCAGGGCGTCGCTTTCATCTCTCCCTGACCACTGCCATCCTGCTGGCCTCCTTTTTCATCTGTACCCTGCTGGCCGTAGGCTTTATTGTCTACAACTTTGCAACTTGTGCCCAGCTAGAACCAGCGCCGGGCGAGGACATCGTCTGCACCAGTGTCCATCTGAGGAATAAGCTGAAGTCGGGCCAGGAAGATGAAAGGCCCAAGTATGACCGAGATGTCAGACTACCGCGCTCCATTCGCCCACTGAAGTACAACATAACGCTGGAGCCGCTGCTTAGCGGGAACTTCAGCTTCACCGGCAGCGTCCAAATCCGGATCAAAGTGCTGGAGGATTGCTACAACATCACCATGCATGCCGAAGAACTCAACATATCGCGCCACGACGCCTCCGTTCGTCGGGTGTTGCCCAATGGGGAGCTGGATGGGGATAGCCTAAGGATCCATAAGCAGTACCTAGTGGGTGCGAAGCAGTTCTTCGTCATTGAGTTGTATGACAAGCTGCTGAAGGGCGCTGAGTATGTGGTGTACCTACGCTTCGGCGGTATCATTGAGGACTACCTACAGGGATTCTATCGCAGCTCCTACGAGGTGCAAAATGAAACAAGGTGGGGACTTATTAACAAAATTCGCGCAGAAAAAATCGTAACTATTTTGGGCTTCTTGCAGATGGGTGGCCTCAACCCAGTTCCAGGCCACGGACGCCAGACGAGCCTTTCCCTGCTTCGATGAGCCCGCCTTGAAGGCCAACTTCACCCTACATATAGCTCGACCGCGGAACATGACCACTGTCTCCAACATGCCCATTGTGGCCACCAACGATCAGTGAGTATTCTTTGAATAATTTTCCAGTAAATACCTTTAAAGGCTTTCTTTTTAATAGAATTACAAAAAAGCTAATATATTCCTGAATTTTTAACCCAATAATCTCTCTATATTAGCGCCACCCTGCCCAGCTACGTGTGGGATCACTTTGCGGAATCGCTGCCCATGTCTACATACCTGGTGGCCTATGCCATATCCGACTTCACGCACATTTCCTCGGGTAATTTTTCAGTGTGGGCAAGAGCGGATGCCATCAAGTCGGCGGAGTATGCCCTAAGTGTGGGCCCCAGGATTCTTACATTCCTGCAGGACTTTTTCAACGTGACATTCCCTTTGCCCAAGATCGATATGATTGCTTTGCCAGAGTTCCAGGCAGGAGCCATGGAGAACTGGGGTCTTATTACCTTCAGGGAGACGGCTATGCTGTACGATCCAGGGGTGGCCACGGCCAACAACAAACAGCGTGTGGCCTCGGTGGTGGGCCACGAGTTGGCCCATCAGTGGTTCGGTAACCTGGTAACGCCCAGCTGGTGGTCTGATATCTGGCTGAACGAAGGATTCGCTAGCTACATGGAATATCTGACGGCCGATGCAGTTGCCCCCGAGTGGAAACAATTGGATCAGTTTGTGGTCAACGAATTGCAGACGGTATTCCAGCTGGATGCTCTCTCCACATCCCACAAGATCTCGCATGAAGTGTTCAATCCACAGGAGATCTCGGAGATATTCGATCGCATCTCCTACGCCAAGGGATCGACCATTATTCGCATGATGGCGCACTTTCTCACGAATCCAGTGTTCCGTCGCGGGCTTAGCAAATATCTGCAGGAGATGTAAGTGGAGATTACTGACAGTTCCCTTAGAGATTATGTGTTTCTGCCTTTTCAGGGCCTACAACTCCGCCACCCAGGACGATCTTTGGCGCTTCCTCACCAACGAGGCCAAATCTTCTGGATTGCTGGATCACAGCCGTAGTGTGAAAGAGATCATGGATACATGGACCCTGCAAACGGGTTACCCGGTGGTTAAGGTATCCCGGCATCCCAACTCCAATGTCATTCGTCTTGAGCAAGTGCGCTTTGTGTACACCAATACGACCAGGGAGGACGAGAGCCTGCTATGGTGGATTCCCATCACTTTTACCACTGCTGCGGAGCTGAATTTCGCCAACACTCGGCCGACCACATGGATGCCACGCACCAAGTTGTACGAGCTAGAGAACCGTAACCTCTCCACCGCCAAGTGGTTCATCTTCAATATCCAGCAGACGGGCTACTACCGAGTGAACTACGACCTGGACAACTGGCGAGCTATCACCGGACATCTGATGGATAGGGAACACTTTGAGGAAATCGCACCAGCCAATCGAGCACAACTGATTGACGATGTTCTGAATCTGGCCCGGGGATCCTACCTCTCCTATGACACTGCCATGAATCTTACCCGCTACTTGGCGCACGAGACGGGACATGTGCCCTGGAAGGCGGCCATTAGCAACTTTATCTTCATCGATTCCATGTTTGTAAACTCTGGAGATTACGATCTAATTAAGGTGGGTAATTTATTTACTATTGAAGGAGTAAACCTCTCTAATACGGATCTGATTTTTTACAGAACTATTTGCTAAAGCAACTATCAAAGGTCTACGAACAGGTGGGCTTTCAGGACTCGGCGGATCCAGCGGATATATTGGTGCAGCTTAAGCGTGCTGATGTCTTGGGCATGGCCTGTCATTTGGGCCATCAGGAGTGCATCGCGGAGGCCAGCAGACACTTCCAGAACTGGGTGCAGACTCCCAATCCGGATGCCAATAATCCGTAAGTAAAGGTTTTAAAAGCAAAAAAATAATCACTCTAAAGTAGAGCTCTCTCCAAAAGCTAACTCTATTTTCTGTATTATATGTATTCTTTCTTACCTTTCCAGCATAGTTCCGAATCTCCGTGGTGTCGTTTACTGCTCGGCCATCCAGTATGGCACGGAGCATGAGTGGGACTTTGCATTTGAGCGTTACCTAAAGACCAATGTGCCCGGAGAAAAGGACCTGCTGCTGAGTGCCCTAGGCTGTTCCAGGGAGCCATGGCTGCTCTATCGTTTCCTGCGTCGTGGCACAGCCGGCCAGCATATCCGTAAACAGGATCTTTTCCGGGTATTTGCTGCTGTTTCTAACACGGTGGTGGGTCAGCAGATAGCCTTTGATTTTCTGCGCAACAACTGGCAGGAAATCAAAACCTAGTAAGTATTTCTTCTCCACAATAAAGACATATGCTATAGCATCCTTTTCAGCATGGGTAACCAGATGTCCAACATCCACACACTCTTCAAGTTCACCACGAAGCGCTGGAACACCAAGTTCCAGCTGAGCGAGTTCGAGAACTTTGTAAAGGATGCCCATTGGGACTACGACCGGCCCATCCAGCAGATCGTCGAACAGATTGAGACGAGCGTGGATTGGATGAACAAGAACTACAAGTCCATTGTCAAGTGGTTGGAGAATGAATCGGCACGGGCGTAAGGGGAGCGGGGAGCGGATAGCAATGATCCGGCGGCTTGGCTGGATCAAGCAAGGCTGCAACCAGTATTAAAATGTTCCGCAGCTGCAATTACGCATTTATGTCTAGTTTTTTATCGAGTTTTCGCCAAAGATCGATCGTCCAGAGAGAAGAGAGCATCATCACTTTTTTATTAACCCCTTTTCTTCATAAAAATTATGAGCGAGTCTTTTAATTTTAATTTTATTCTGTAATTACTTGTACTTGTACTTAAATGTAAAATGTAAATGGAATTATATCATTGTTCGTCACAAAAGTCAGGTCTAATCCTGTTTCACAGCTTCAGCTTGTGGCTCCGCCCTCATTGGAGCTTTGATCACATTTGCAAACATCAGTGTGCCCACAAAAACGAGTACAGTACCCAGCCAGTGGTACAGGGTGAAGGGATTCCTGAAGTACACGATGGAGAACACCAGGGAGATGAACTTGCGCAGGGTCAGGATGAGGGTGACCGTCAGCGAGCTGCATTCCGTTGTCAGCGAGTACACAGAGCTAATGCACAGATGCTGGGCCAGCACATTGCCTACTAAATAGAGAAGGAAAAGGGGTACAGCCAGGCCCAGCAGGGGCAGGCGGTAGGTGTCCCCCTCAAAGGCTAGACTCCAGTGCGTCCTTATGTTGTCGTGCATCAGGAAGAAGGCGGGAAGCGGCAACAAATGAGTATAGTAGAGAGCTTCCCGGGCACATTGGCTCCCATGTTTCCGGTACAGGAGCTCCTGGGTAATGCCCATGTAGGAGGAGATGAACAGGGCCAGCACCAAGAGCAGTACGCCCACCAGCCACCAAAAGATGTCCACTTCCCTGTAATCCTTGTGGTCCGCAACCTCCTGACTTGAATAGTAGGTGCAGATGAATATTCCCACGGTGATCATGAGCACCGATATGTATTGGCTGATCCTGTACCTCCTCTTTAGCACCAGCGTTCCCAGGCACATGTTGGATATGAGGGAACCGCCGCGTATTATCATGTGGAGCGTCATAGGTACATTGTACTGGAATACGTAGTTATTGCAAACGCTGGTGAGGAAAAACATTGCCACCAGGAGGACATAGCTTCTCAGATCGATCACCCGTTTGGCCCGACCGAACTTTGAGGTGAAGATGAAGCCCTCGAGAGCTATGAAGGCGAACTGGGTGGCTGTAACCAGGTTGCCGGCACCCGGATCCAGCTTTACCAGAAGTTCCAGGAACACCACGCCACTGCAGCAGCCCAGGAAGACGCCCCCGACGGCCAGAACAGAGCGTGGGGACAAACTCATCGAAACAACGAAATACTACTACTAACTGTGACCCTAATATAGGCCATGTCGAGCTTTTGAGCCAACTTTCTTTTTGGCCAGCCCAACGAAAACGTAAACAAAGCCAACAGGTGGTTATCGAGAAGTTATCGATAGCACATCATCGTTACAAGAAACAGCTGAATATCTGGTAGCGAAATTCAAATTTGGAATAAATGAAATACAATTTCTTACTTAATTTTAATCACATTCGAAATTTATGCACCAACAGTCTTTTTTTTTACAAAACTACAAATTACAATGATTAATGATTTTCACGAACAAATATTTGCATGTATGAATGGTAAAATAAATATTACGATTGCTGCTTCTCCAGCAGGGCAATGATTTTATCCAGCTTCTCCGCTTGCTTGGCCTCAAAGTCATCCAGCCGCTTGGTCACAAGCTGGTTTAGCTGCAGGAATCGCTTATCTATGAGTTCCTTTAGGTTTGACATATCAGCACAGGGAGCTGCGGGAGTTGAAGGAGGAGCAACAGTAGCCTCCGCCTGCGGAGATCCACCTTTAATGAGCGACATGAAATGCTGCAGCTTGTCGGCATGCTCCTCATCTTTGGACTGACTGCCTCCCTTTTGCAGCAGCTCCTGGATGCGGAGTAGATCCACTGGCCTTGGCAGCTGGGTGGTGATTCCATTCGGATTCGGGGCCACGTGCAGCATGGATCCGTAAACGCAGATCTCGTTGGAGGCGGTGAGTAATTTGAGATTTATATCATTGATTCCCGAACGGTCGATCTCCATGTCGTAGCGATAGGGACGCACTGGCACCTCCGCATCCTCCTCTTCCACGCAGATTCCGTAGATTGTTTCGAAGTACTCCTGTGACGGCCCTATGAACAGCTCCACCTTGGGAGCACTACAGATCAGCGTCAGAGCGGCAATTTTGTAGCGGGTCGCAATCAGGAACCTCAGCTCGCAAGGCGGCGGGGGTCTCTCCGAACTTGCAAACAGCACGGCACGCTCCTCATTAATCACATCGTCAAGATCCGGCCTGTGTGTGTGTGCAAACAAAGGAAGTTGCTTAATCAGTGGCGGCGGAAAAACCAGTTTTCAGGGCGTGAAAATCCTTTGTCTCTCACTTTACAAAGACATCGTCGTCGGATAGACGGGTGGCCACCAGCTGGGACAGCTCGTTGCCCGCCGTCTGGGGCCAATTGCATCTAGCCGTCACCTTATCGCACATGATTTTATTCAAAGATTTCCCAAAGTTTAGGGGGTAGAATTTGAAAAAAGCGTTTTCCCGTGGAAGCGCAAATCAAAACACAAGTGGTGATGGGCAGTCAGCGATAACAGCCGATGGGGCGCTGCCAACCTGTTGGAGCTAGCGGAGCCTGCCAACTGGGGCGTCTGGCATCACGGCTCGCCGTTGACCGTGGCCAAGGTCAATCACTTAAGGGACTTTTCCAAAGATTCTTTGCATTTTTAATGGCGTCTAGAGGGCCTAGCGGACGCCGTTTTTGATGTAGAGCGTTTTAAGGTGCATGACATAAGTAACAGGAACCCATAGGGCAAGAAAAGTCAAAAAAATCCAAGTCACCACTTCACCCACAGTATGGCAACCCTGCCAGTCCACCCCCATCGACTGGGTTTCCGCCGAATTTTCGCAGTTCAATTTGTTAGCCAAGTGAAAGTGTACACAATTTTCCGCAGATTTTTAAGCACAGCTAACAACACCATGGGTGGCAAGTACAAGATCGTAATGGTGCGCCACGGCGAGTCCGAGTGGAACCAGAAGAATCAGTTCTGCGGCTGGTTCGATGCCAATCTCAGCGAGAAAGGTGATTATTACATCAAGGACAGTCCGTCCCGCTGCTATAGGGAACCTTTGCACTGTAGAACAAGTCCCTCAGTGCTGATTATCCAACGCGTCGTATACTTAATATGGTCTTGTGTTAATAGGCAAGGAGGAGGCTCTAGCCGCCGGCAAGGCCGTCAAGGAAGCCGGTCTGGAATTCGATGTGGCCCACACCTCGGTGCTGACCCGCGCCCAGGTTACGCTGGCTAGCATCCTGCAGGCCAGCGGCCACAAGGAGATCCCCATCCAGAAGACGTGGCGCCTGAACGAGCGCCACTACGGTGGACTCACTGGTCTGAACAAGGCCGAGACCGCAGCCAAGTATGGTGAGGCTCAGGTGCAGATCTGGCGTCGCAGCTTCGATACCCCGCCACCAGCAATGGAGCCGGGCCATCCGTACTACGAGAACATCGTAAAGGATCCCCGCTATGCCGATGGACCCAAGCCGGAGGAGTTCCCTCAGTTCGAGTCTCTTAAGCTGACCATTGAGCGTACGCTGCCCTACTGGAACGACGTCATCATTCCTCAAATGAAGGAGGGCAAGCGCATCCTGATTGCTGCCCACGGCAACAGCCTGCGCGGCATCGTCAAGCATTTAGACAGTGAGTACTAAAATTGATGAAAATATTAAGCTTATTTCAATATTGTAGCATACTTTTGGAAACATTTTAATATTGATTTAATACCTTTCTATTTCCTCTCTTTCAGACCTGTCTGAAGACGCCATCATGGCTTTGAACCTGCCAACAGGCATCCCCTTCGTTTACGAGCTGGACGAGAACTTCAAGCCGGTGGTTTCAATGCAGTTCCTTGGTGACGAGGAGACCGTCAAAAAGGCCATCGAGGCTGTGGCTGCCCAGGGCAAGGCCAAGTAGAAGCTTTCCTTATCGAATCACACACAAAAACCGGCACAAATCAGACGGGGGAAGATATGGGTCTGAGACGGTGCTCTCTGTGTTCAATATCTATCCCACTATATCCTACTCGTTGTTGTTGTTCGCGTAGCAGAATAATTGGTTTAAATCCCAACTAAAGTTATTAAATAATTTATTATTACACACACCCAATTTCGAAGGAGGAGTCTCTCTATTTGTTTATTGAAGGGATCACTTCTTCTTGTTCTTCTTGCCATCCTTGGCCAGTTCGAGGCCCAGGATGCACTTGGGAGGCACCTTATACGTTTCGGTGAGGAGGGTGTGCACGAAACGCACCTGGTTGCCCTGGATCTGGAGCTGTTCGTGCTTCTGGTGCGGCAGCTTCACCACACTGGTGCTGGCTGCTGCTCCCTGCTTGCAGAGCTTGATGAACTCTGCCAGGATGATGCCGTATGCCTCGATGTTGCTCACAAGCGTTACCTTCTTGTTGCCGGATCGCGTGGCGAGGGACATTTGGATGAGGGGCTTGCCGCTGGTGTCTTTTCCACTGCACATCTGGTACGAGTGCTCCATTTTGCTGATGATCAGGGAGCACATCTCGCTAAGCGAGGCCTCCCGGTCGCCATAAAGCTCGATCAGTGTTTCGTCTGGTTTCACCAGTTTCGTCAGGGGATGAAGCAAACCGTGCTTGCTCACGTACTCCCGAACAATCTTCTTGATTTGGCCCGCAGGGATTCCCTCTCCGCGCTTGAAGTTCAGCTTGGTGAAAAAGGCCGCCGTTGCATCCGTCACAATATACATCTCCTTCAGCTCCGAGTGGAATAGAGGCGTCTCGGACGCCGCTCCATTTGCCTCATTCGCCTTGACATCGGTGATAAAGTTCACAACTTCTGGATGTTCCAAGTCCACGGAAGTGATCTTATCCACACCCTTGCTCTCCTCGCGCACCACAATAAACCCCTGATCTACCATCTCGGCCAGGAAATTGGAGAGCTTCTTGTAGCGCGTCTTCTTAAGGTCAATCTGCTCGGCGGCCTCAGTGACCACGTAGAGTCGGTAGAAGTTGCTGGTTAGCAGGGGCAGAGGAAGCTTCTTTCCGTGGTTCTTCAATGCAGCGAGGAAAGCGTTCTTCAGTATTGTATCGGGCGTGGACTCCCCCTTCTCCTCATCCACCTTATTCTCCTTCTCCTCGTCGGCTTCCTCCCAGGAATCGGGGACTAGCGACAACGAAGCAGTCCCTGCCTCCAGATCTTCTGTTTGCGTTACAGAGGCAAAGGTTGCAGGAGCTGCGGGCGCAGCCTTTTTCCGCTCCAGTTCAGAGCCGAGTGCTGGGAAATCCTCGCCGGACAAGGCCTTGGTCCTTACAAGTGGGATTTGCTGCACCATACTGGGCTCATGAGACCAGAGCTTGTCCCCAAACAGATGCAACATCTTGATGGCCACGCCATGGCCCCCGCACATGTACAACTCGTCGCTGGAGCGGGCCAACTGACCAAGACCCACTGCCGACCTGTTGTTTGTGAGGTTTACAGCCACTGAAACGGTACAAGGTTAGGGATATATCCCGTTCGAACTTCTGTCCTGGTACTCACTCAGCTGCCCCTTTTTGTAGTGACCGTACATGTTCAGCCCGACGCCCAAGGGCACCACACCCGGCAGCATCAGGTCCGCTCCGTTGGTCAGCTTCGGCAGCACACCCTCGTGCGTGGTGAAGTACGGCAGAAGATCGGGCACGGACCACAGCGCGTACAGGGTGGGCACAAGTTTGCCGCCATCCAGTTCAAAGAACATCGGCTGCTTCTCCACACAGTAGACGATGCTCTGGACGCCACCGTGCGTGAGGATTTTAAGCTGCGTTACCGCCGCCTTTGCCGGCACAAGCAGCTCGATGGACACATGCGGGTATGCCGCTTCCAGGCGCTGCCGAAACTTCTTGCTTTCGGATCCCTTGAGCGCCGCACTGCTCTTGGGTCTGTACGGCTTGAGAAACATCTGTCTGGTGCCCCGATGTGGTGTTCTATGCTGCGCGCTGGAAAGATTGGAGGTTGGCACATGCCACAGTGGAAACAAAAACAAACAATGTGCCAGCCAGTGATGCGCTCTTGGCTTTGTTTTCAATTAGAGCTAAGATGGAAATTAGTAGTGGGAGTCGGCGTTAAATTTCTGGAATTTCTTGAATTAAGATTCTAATTCCAAATCTTCAATTAAATTATTTGTTTTATTACAATTTTTTCATTTTTTTTTTTTAATGTAATTTCCTGTTTCCAAAATACGAGTTCCCTCAATATTTTATTAATAAGTAAAATGATTCTTATTCAAAAAAACAATTTTAAATTTAACCAGCCATAAAAATCATATTGAACTTCCAGATAATTTGCTCACTTAACGCTTCCAAGAAAAATTCACAATTTATTGAAACATCCTTCCAACAAGCACACATTAAAAATGGACAGCCCCGCCCCCTGTGGAAATTCGCCGGGTTTTCCTAATTTAAGAAAAACCTGAAAAGACGCAAGGACCGCTCTCCTCAGGTAGCCAAGAAGCGAAACGCACAAGATCTGGTAAGGGCGCCATTTTTTATTCAACGAAACATCTGTGGTAACAATATTCTCTCCGCACACGACTCTTGTAACTTAAAAATGCGCGTTTGATTCATAATTTTTAGGTTTAGCTACATTTTTGTACTTAGAAAGATACTTAGTAAGCAGGTATAGATCCCCTTTCTTTTTTAACATTTAGCCCGGCCCCGGAAAATAAGATCCTAGTCCGAATCAGAGTCGGAGTCGTTGTTTCCCTCGCCACGTCTGGGCTTAGTGGGTGGATCGTAGAAATGGAGACTCTTGCGCCAGATCTTCACCAGGCCATCGAAGGCCCGGCGGCTGTACTTTCCGTATTTGTTAGGTGTGCGCGGATGCTCGCGCCCGCGCTCCGCCTTTGGCACCATCTCCACATAGCGCTCGTAGGCCGCTGTGTTCTTGCCATAGTCTATCTGCTTCTGGCGGCGGGCGAGTACGGCGGGATCGGCCTCGGTGTACGACGACGAAGATGAGGTGGAGGATGTGTAGCTATTGTGGCGCACGCGCTTTTCCTCCTTGTGGCCCCTAAAGTTGCGATGACGGGTATTGCCGTCCTTGCCGGTGGCAGCCATGGCATCGCCGTTGGCTGAGGAGTTGCTGCTACTGTTCGGACTGTTCGAGCGGCTGTTCTCTTCGTTGCTGGGCGGCGTTTGCGAATGACGGCGCTTGTACGGCGTCTTCAGCTTCTCCTCCTTGACCAGTCGCTCGAATTTCTCCTCATTGACGCCGTCCAGGAACTCGAACGCCATCTCACGGTCTGTGGCCCCCTCTGCGGTCTCCTGTTTCACCTCGACCGACTCCTTTTTTATCAAAGAACCGCAGCTGGCGGCGCTGCTATTAAGGGAGCTGGAGGCCTGTGAATTAACGTAATCTATTTAACAATAGTTCTGTCAAGATGCTGCATCTATCTCTCACCTCATCACTGTGGCCGAACTCCGCCCGGACCTCCTGGGCCCAACTCTGCATCTGGGGCTTCACATCGATCGAGATGGAGGACGCCGAGGAATTCAGGCTGACGGAGCCCTTTATCGGCGTGTTTTCCACGGACATTGGCTGGTCCTCGCAGAGCATCTTTGTACTGTGTTGGTGTTGCAAGTGTTTCTCTGAAGGATGCTGGTCGCTGCGAGGATGTTGTTTTTTTGTGTCCGGACTTCGCGCGTTTTTTGTTGTGATGCAGTCGGATCAGTGTGGCCATGAAAGTAAATATTTTTTATACTTTTATTTATTTCGTAAAAATAGCTAAATCTAATCCAGTCTAGCTACATTGTGACCATTTCCAACACTTCCGCAAACGAGCCATGAATAAGTAAACGTGTAAAATGTATATACACGTGAAAGGTGTAAAACGTGTTCGGAGTGACCAGAAAAAATGATCAAAATCACCAAAAAACTGTTTTCGGTACAATTTGATATTTTAAATATATATTTTCTTCTGTTAATTTACAGTAAATGTTATGAATTTCATATTCGACATGATGTGTAAAATGTAAAATTTCAGAGTGAGCAGAAAAATATAGAATTCTGTTAATGAGAGCAGGTCTGTTAATATATTACACATTATAAATTCGAATTCTACCCCCTGTAGAAAATTCTACGCCAAATATGAGAATTCGACCCCATGTATCTGTAAACGTGTAAAATGGTTTTCTAGACGTGTGGGATGCAAAATGTTAAATAAGTGCCACACTAAAAAACTACCACACTAACAAAAAAGTAATTCGAATGATTTTGCATTTTTCGGCATAAAAAAAATTGAAATTGAAACGGTGCACAATTGTTGGTTAGTACGCAATAAATGAAATTATTGACAACTCGATCGGAGTGCCAGCTAAACATTCGTCAAACACACATTTGTAGAACCTGTGAGTGGAAACAAAGCAGCTTAAAATGAGCCTTACATCCGCCGCGGGGATAATTTCCCTACTCGATGAGCCGATGCCGGACTTGAAGGTTTTTGCGCTGAAGAAGCTCGATAACATCGTGGACGAGTTCTGGCCCGAGATCTCCGAGTCCATTGAGAAGATCGAGATGCTTCACGAGGACCGCAGCTTCCCGGAGAACAAGCTGGCTGGCATGGTGGCCTCCAAGGTGTTCTATCACCTCGGCTCCTTCGAGGACGCCTTAACCTATGCCCTGGGAGCTGGCGATCTGTTCGATGTGAACGCACGGAATGAGTACACGGAGACGATCATTGCCAAGTGCATCGACTTCTATATTGCCCAGCGCGTTGAGTTCATTGAGAATCCGAAGGACGCCACCATTGTGGACGAGCGGCTGGAGGGCATTGTTAACCGCATGATTCAGCGCTGCCTGGACGACAATCAGTTCCGCCAGGCCTTGGGCATTGCGCTGGAGACGCGCCGCATGGACATCTTCGAGGTGTCCATCATGAAGTCGGACGACGTGCGCGGCATGCTGGCCTATGCCTACAATGTGACCATGTCGCTGATACAGAACCGGGGCTTCCGCAACCAGGTGCTGCGCTGTCTGGTCGGCCTGTACCGCGACTTGGGCGTGCCCGACTACGTGAATATGTGCCAGTGCTTGATCTTTCTGGAGGATCCACTGGCTGTGGCTGAGATGCTAGACACTCTAACCCGCTCGTCCGTGGAGACGAACAATCTGATGGCCTACCAGATCGCCTTCGATCTGTACGAGTCCGCCACGCAGGAGTTCCTCGGCAATGTGCTGCAGGCCCTCAAGGACACCGCCCCCATTCCCACCGCCCTGCCCAGCACCTTCAAGCCGCAAGGCACAAGTTCCGAGAACGGCGCTAAGACGGAAGAGGACAAGGCCAAGTCGGAGGAAGATATCACAGAGGAAAAAGAAGGTAGGCTGCTGTTTCACATCCAATCTTTGTCTTTGCCTTACCATTGAATTTATGCCCACAGCTGATGTTAAGGTTGAGCGCACCATTGACTCCCTTAACGAGGTGGAGAAGCTGCATCAGAAGAACATAGAGAAACTTATCTCCATTCTTTCCGGCGAGGTGTCCATCGACTTGCAGCTGCAGTTCCTCATCCGCAGCAATCACGCCGATTTGCAGGTGCTGCGCGGCACCAAGGAGGCCGTCCGTGTGTCTATCTGCCACACGGCGACGGTTATTGCCAACGCCTTCATGCACAGCGGCACCACCTCCGATCAGTTCCTGCGCGACAATCTCGACTGGCTGGCCAGGGCAACGAATTGGGCCAAGCTGACGGCCACCGCCTCGCTGGGCGTTATCCATCGAGGCCACGAAAAGGAATCGCTCGCACTGATGCAGAGCTACCTGCCAAAGGAGGCCGGCCCGAGCTCGGGCTACTCCGAGGGCGGTGCCCTGTACGCCCTGGGCCTGATTCATGCAAATCACGGAGCAAATATTATAGATTATCTGCTGCAGCAGCTTAAGGATGCCCAGAACGAGAATGTGCGCCATGGCGGCTGTCTGGGACTGGGTCTCGCCGGTATGGGCACTCATCGGCAGGACCTGTACGAGCAGCTCAAGTTCAACCTCTACCAGGACGATGCCGTCACAGGTGAGGCAGCTGGCATTGCAATGGGAATGGTGATGTTGGGTTCCAAGAACGCCCAGGCCATCGAGGACATGGTGTCGTATGCGCAGGAGACGCAACACGAGAAGATTTTGCGCGGCCTGGCCGTTGGCATCTCCCTAACCATGTTTTCGCGACTGGAGGAGGCTGACCCGCTGGTGACCAGTCTGTCCACCGACAAGGATCCCGTCCTGCGTCGCTCGGGCATGTACACCATTGCCATGGCGTACAATGGAACTGGTAGCAATAAGGCCATTCGTAAGCTGCTCCACGTGGCCGTTTCTGACGTGAACGATGATGTGCGTCGCGCTGCCGTCACCGCTATTGGGTTCATCTTGTTCCGCACCCCGGAGCAGTGTCCCTCGGTAGTGAGTTTGCTGGCTGAGTCCTACAATCCGCATGTTCGTTATGGCGCCGCCATGGCGCTGGGCATTGCCTGTGCCGGCACAGGATTGCGCGAGGCCATAGCCCTCCTGGAGCCAATGGTAAAGTTCGATCCAGTCAACTTTGTACGGCAGGGCGCTCTGATCGCGTCGGCCATGATCTTGATCCAGCACACAGACCAGAGCTGTCCCAAGACCACCTTCTTCCGCCAACTATACGCCGAGGTTATCAGCAACAAGCACGAAGATGTTATGGCCAAGTATGGCGCTATTCTGGCTCAGGGTAAGTGTGTTTTTATTGGTTATTAAATTAGGAAAAAACTATGAGAAATGGATAGAAGGAAAACGTCTCATTTGATACAAATATCGTACCAAATATTTCAAAATTATAAGTTTTAAAAAATGTCTTAACTAAAACAAGAAAGGATACAAACTTCAGGAACCGAAGTTTATACACCCTTTCGTTTTGCATCGGAAATTGATAATGACTATTTGAATCGATAATTCTGTTTCATAATTTGTTCGACAAATCAAAGTTTAAAAATCTCATAACTAAGCCAAAAGAGCATATATTTTAATTCGGAAACCACCCCTATGCTTGTTTTTAGTAGTTTAATAAATCTCCATATTCAATTTTAAATCTTAAAAAATTAGGATTTTTATCAATTTTTGACAATTTTAACGATGTAACCCCTTTTAAAATTTTGAAAAAATTTAAAAAATTTATTTTTGGACCTGACATGGCTAGATCGACTCAGCTTTTGATGCTGATCAAGGATATATATGATTTATCGGGTCGAAAATGACTCCTTAACGGCTTTCCAAACTTCTGAGTAAAATTATAATACCTTCTGTTCTGCATTTGTATGGTACAAAAATATTTCCTACAGTTAAATATATATATATTAACGCGATCATCACACTGATATTACATTCATTCATTATTTTCTTGTAAAACTAAACAAAATAATCACTGATCAAACTAGAACGAAATGCTTGACATAAAAGTTACCCGTGTTTTGATAAAAGAGCATTGGAAACTCACAAATTCTTTATTTTGTATGAAATTGTCTTAGGTTTAACGTAAATGCAGCGATAAGATAACCGTTGACTTAAAAATGCTTGCCACTTGTTTTTATTTTCAAACCGTTTTAGTTGGAACTTAAAAATGATTCATTATTCATTTCATAAAAATACACCCAACATAATCATGGGGAGTCCCCGTTGCCTCTGGCCAAATAGATTCCCCTAATTATACCCTCCTTTTTATTAAAATTTTCTAGGCATCATCGATGCTGCCGGCCGGAATGCCACCCTTTCGCTGCAATCCCGGACAGGACACACCAATCTTCAAGCCGTGGTCGGTATGCTGGCCTTCACCCAGTACTGGTACTGGTTCCCTCTCGCCCACACCCTTTCGCTGGCCTTTACGCCCACGTGTGTCATTGGCTTGAACTCGGATCTGAAGATGCCCAAAATGGAGTACAAGTCGGCGGCCAAGCCCTCACTGTACGCCTATCCCGCTCCTCTAGAGGAGAAGAAGAGCGAGGAGCGCGAAAAGGTGGCCACCGCCGTTCTCTCCATTGCCGCCCGCCAGAAGAGACGCGAGAATGCCGACAAGAAAGAGGATGAGAAGATGGATGTGGACGAGGATAGCAAGGAGGGTCAAACTTCAGCGGCCAAGAAAGAGGATGAGGCCAAGACCGACGAAAAGATGGCGACAGATGAGAAGCCCAAGAAGAAGGAGGAGAAGGAAAAGAAAAAGGACGAGGACAAGGAGGCGACGGCGACAAGCGACAAGGAAAAGGAGAAGGAGAAGGAGAAAGAGAAGGACAAGAAGGAGAAAAAGGAACCCGAGCCCACCTCTGAGATCCTGCAGAATCCCGCCCGCGTTCTCCGCCAGCAGCTGAAGGTCCTCAGTGTCATCGATGGTCAGTCGTATGAGCCCCTAAAAGAGGTAACCATTGGCGGCATCATAGTGTTTCAGCACACCGGTAAGGCCGAGGATCAAGAGCTCGTGGAACCCGTGGCCGCCTTCGGCCCGATGAATGACGAGGAGAAGGAGCCGGAGCCGCCAGAGCCCTTCGAGTACATCGAGGACTAAATGGGCATGCTTTTCGTCATAATCTAAGTGAAAGAGAAACAGTTCGATTTTCAAACCCTTGCATACTTTTCACGTGAAACCACAACGCTAACCCCTAACGCTAATTATAATCCAAATAAAAATGTTCATCGTTTGTGATGTAAACAAGGCGTGCGTACTTTGGTTTATGGATTCCGCGCTCTTGGGATTAGCTGCGACGCCGCCTCTGTCGCGGGCGCCAGCCTCTCAGACTTATCTTGGCGGAGGAGAGCTTTCGATCAAGCGAGATTGTTTCGCCATATGCTGAAAGTTTGCTCCAAACATAAATACATATGTATACGATTTCACAACGGTCGGCAATTGGTGCGTTCTCGATTTGTATTATCTTGGCCTCTCTGTTTCTTTTCTCTCTTTGGAGAGAAACAAGGGCGCGTTTAGGGGGTCAAAGGGGAACTGTAGCCCCACAGATAATCCAGACCTTATTATTGTGTTCGAAATGCATTGATTTTTTATAGCTTTGTTGCTTTTTGATACAAAATTAAATGGTTTTGGATAAACAAAAAAAACCACTATACTACTTAAATTGCCATCACAAAATTAATTAATTTATTCTAAAGAAATCTTTGTTCATAGATTAAAACTAATGGAATATATAAAGACTTTTAATGTTAGAACTGAATAAATTTAGCAAAATATAAAGATAGTCAATTCTGATATATTACTTATGTATATGTGTTTGACAAACATCTGATCACCGAATAACCCCCTTGGTCGCGCCCTTGTTTGTTGCCATAGTGTTTAGTACGCGCAAATGACGAATAAAACAAACATTCAACTAGTGAGACGCTTGTTCTTTACCTATTGTGGCACAATTTTAACACCTTTGCCGACGTAGAGCGTTATCACTTGTTGTGCCGCCACCGAAATCACAGTTATAAACATAAAAGTGCGACAGGGTGACAACCCTGGCCGCAGCACACGGTATAAATACTGAGCGAATGCTCTCTCTCATTCACTCAGTTTTTTTTTGTTACTACGTGCGGTGCTTGTGCTGCCGCTTTTCGTAAAAAATATTCGCGTAAATATTAGTAGTGTAATAGGTAGTGTGTGTTGACAACAAAATTAGTAGTCTGGCTGCGCCAGGCCACGAATTAATTAGCTTATATGTATACAACTTACAACCCGAAACACGACGATACCAAAAATATTCGCAGCCAGTTCTTTGTGTAATTTCTCGCCAGAAACGGTAAACTGCAAGTAACGGTGCAGCACCTGACCTCGACCTACACAACAAATACATAGAAACATCGCTGTGATTTGTTGTTGCCGGCTGTGTTTGCTTCATTGATTTTCACGAAGAAGAGGTAGAGAGGAGAAGAAGCAAAGAGAGGGGAAGCAGAAACCGAGTGCAGTGCCGCCCGCGTGCGAATAACGGTGAATCTCGGACTCAGAACTGCCAAAAAATCCCACCATTATGAACCGCACCAGGAGGAAGGTCATCCGTCCCAAGAATCCCTACACCGAGGCAAACTTGATCTCACAATGGAGCTTCTGGTGAGTGTTTCCCAAAACCCCATTTTACGCCCAGTGCGCGAACCCTCCCTATTTGCGTTAGTCATGAGCCCCATTATTTACGGTAAATTATATAGTCTTGTAGCACGTGTTCGAGCCATATTGAGCGAGCAAGTAGTACCAGTTTTTGGGCCTCTTTATCGGAGTTGCTCGACTATAATTAGTTGATTCGTATTAGCTTGTCCGTCCGATAACTGCGGCTAGATAAGAGTGCGCCATTCTAATGAGAAATGGAGCGAACATCCCATTAAATTGGATGCCGCCTTTATTAGATGTCAATGCCTATAGCAACCAGGTTACGCACATCGCTGGATTTATTCCAATATAACATATAGGAGCGGTCATAGTCTAACTCAGCTTTATGGGCGATAGTACCCAGCATTTGAATTGGCGTTTCGTCTGCGCTTTACTACAATGTCACATTTACTACAAAGATTGGAATCGGAATCCCTCCGTACTCCACTATCGGCGGGCAGTTCAGTTGTGAGCCCCACACAATTAGGCGGAATTGTATTTCATTAACAAAGACTTGAAGATCCCACAGTGGGGACTGTCACATGGCAGATATAGTCCACAGAAATCAAGTCTTTGTTTAGGGTGTTCTCACAAGAATACAGTAGGATTAGTTGGATAAAATTTAAACAATGTAAAAATATGTAATAATATAGACCTCATCTGAGGGTTTATATAAGCTTTCTATTTTGTAAAAGGTTTGAACTTTCTAAAATTCTAACGAACTTACAGTCACATAAAGAACTTTTAAATAATACAATAATATTAGATAATATTATCTTTAACTTTTTAAAATTTAGCTATATTAATCTTTAAAAGACAATTTACATATATGATAACAAATGGTGTAAACGCCTTACTTTAAGACTTGCCTTAAAGATAAAGCAAAGTACACGGTATTCATGATATAATCAAGAACCTCACTACTGTATAGCGAATACAATCCTAATTAAGCCTCCTTTTACAAGTTTCTACTGTATGTGCAACTACAAGTGTTTGATTAATATGTAATCAAACACAGTATGTCTGGGTTTTCATTTTCGCAGATCGTGGGTCTGACGAAATTCCCTAGAATATTACTTGTTGTGCGCAATTCTTTGTCTTTGTTTTATCAGAGGACTTTCCTATGGCAATAAAAAACAACACATTTTTTCGTAGTTATCTTATTACAAAGACTTTACTTAGTTTAAACCCAAATAAGCCTCAGGAAATCATAAAAGATTTCTGGGTCTTAGCAACCAGAAAATCTTACCTTGTCTGCCCTACGCTATCGGGACAATTAAAAGGGTTCCAAGGAGCAATTATAGAGCCATTATAAACTTTTAAGATTACAGTGCAAGTGCTTAAATGTTCATGATGTATAAACAAACTTAGATTTGGAGAAATATTAATTAGAATCGACAATTTCTAACTTAGGTAACTCTTAAGAATTATTCGATTAATTTAAGAAGAGATGTTTATTTATAAAGACTCAAGTTTATAACATTTTTATCCAATTGCAGCATGCACTAGGCCCAGTTAGGAATTATAAGGCCAAACCTTTATATTTAATAAACTTATTATTTTTATTTTTTTCATATCTCAAGAAAAACTTACTAACTGGAAACTCTTTTCAGGTGGATGCGAGATCTGTTTAAGCGAGGTCTCAAGGGTCCCTTGACGGACGAGGAGTTGTACCAGCACAGGAAAACACTGGACAGCGAACGGGTGACAAACAAGTTTGCCGAACTGTGGGACGATGAGCTGAAGCGAGATGATCCAAGCGTTGTGAGGATGATATTGCGGGCGTACGGCAAGATATTCGTGCCCATGGGATTGGCCTTCTCCCTGGCCGAGACGGTTTGCAAGTACGTAGAAATATGCTTTCTAGCCAGAGATAAGTTGCTAATCCGATTCGTTTCTGTTCCTTTGCAGATCCTGCATGCCCCTGTTTCTGGGTAACCTCGTAGGCTACTTTGCCGTAAATCAAACAGAGATTAGTGAACAGACGGCGTATCTGTACGCCATTGGAATTGTGATATGCATGCTGGTGCCGGTGCTGACCTTCCATCCATTCATCTTCTACATCTTCCAAGTGGGCACCAAGCTGCGGCTCGCCCTGTCAGGTCTCATCTACCGCAAGGTCCTGCAAGTCTCGAAAAGCAGTAGCAACGACGGCCTGCGCGGCAGAGCCATCAATATTTTGTCCAACGATCTCGGTCGCTTCGATGTTGCGCTTTGCTTCCTTCACGACACGTGGAAGGGTCCAATGGAGTCACTAATCATTGGGTTCCTCATGTACCGAGAGATCGGTATATCCGCTGTGATAGGAGTCTCCTTCATGCTCAGCTTTATACCACTGCAGGCGTGGGCAGCCAAAAAGGCAGCGTATTATCGACAGATGACTGCCGAACGGACGGATCTTCGAGTTAAGCTGATGAACGAGATTATCCAGGGCATCCAGGTGATCAAGATGTATGCGTGGGAGCGCAGCTTTGCTCGTGTCATAGCCGAAGTGCGCCTCAAAGAGGTGAAGGCTATCCGAGGAACTGCCTACATCCACGCCGCCCTCGGCTGCACCTCCATGATATCCCCACTGTCCGTATTCCTGGCGCTGTGCTCCTACGTTTACCTGGGCGACCCACTAACCGCCCAAAAGGTCTATACCGTGTCGTCGTACTTCAACATGCTCAACGATTCGATGGTGACCTTCTGGCCCATGTCCATCACATTTATCGCTGAGGCCTTGGTGTCTGCCAAGCGCTGTAAGGAGTTCCTGCTGGACGGAGACCGAGCGGAGGTTCCCATCAACCTGGAGGCCAATCAGCAGACGGCCAAGAATAAGCGCAAGATCACCAAGGAGGACAAACAAAAGAGCGTCGAAGTAAACGGTTCCCTGCTCTCCAACGGCAAGCCCCACCACAATCGCTTGCGGGACTATGACCCAGAAGCGACCAAAAAATGTGTGGTGCTCAAGAATGTCTCGGCTTCCTGGGACACATGTGACGGTCATGCCAACACTGCCATCGAGGAATTTAGTACGGACATTCCAGATCATACACTGACCGCCGTAGTTGGACCCGTAGGCGCCGGCAAGTCCAGCTTCCTGAACGTTCTGCTCGGCGAGGTGGGCATCGATAAGGGCGAGGCCATGGTCCACGGAAAGGTATCGTATGCCTCTCAGGAGCCCTGGGTGTTTGAGGGAACCATCCGCGACAATATCGTTTTCGTGGAGGATTACAACGAGCGGCGCTACAAAAAGGTGGTGAAGGCTTGTGGTCTCGAGCGTGATATAGAGCTGCTACCCCGCGGAGACTTGACAGTGGTCGGCGAGCGAGGAGTGAGCCTGAGTGGTGGACAAAAGGCCAGGGTCAGCCTAGCCAGAGCTGTTTATCGCAAGGCGGATATCTACTTGCTAGACGACCCGCTCTCTGCTGTGGACACGCATGTGGGCAAGCACATCTTTGATCGGTGTATACGCGACTTTTTGTCCAACAAGATTCGGATTCTGGTCACGCATCAAGTGCAATATCTGTTCGATGTGGAGCACCTGCTGCTGATGGGTAACGGCAAGATTTTGGCCCAGGGCAGCTACCAGGAGCTCCAGCGTTCGAGGCAGTTCCAGTTCCTCGAGCAGACGCTGCACGATGAAAGCGGCATTGGAGATACACACAGCCTGAAGAGTCAGATATCACGCAGCGATTCGGAGAAGAGCATGGAGCACCATCATCAGCAGCTGCTGCAGCCGGGCGAGGAGGTGGAGGAGCTAAACCAGGAGCAACAATCTGTGGGAGCCATCAAAATGCATGTCTATGCCTCGTACATCAAAGCACTGGATAGCACCTTCCTGCTGGGACTCATTGTCTCCCTGTTTATCTGCGCCCGCGTTATGCTCACCGGTGTGGACTACTTCCTGTCGCGTTGGGTCATTTGGGAGGAGAAGATCGCAGTTAATGGCACTGCCGCCTTGCTAAATGAAAGTGATCCTATGCCCACCAATGATACGCTGGCCTTGAATGCCACAGATGCATCTATAACGCCTGTGATTGCCGACAAGATTGAGGCGGGCATTCGACAGGAACTGGTCCTCTTCTATGCCACCATACTGGGAGCCACGCTGATCGTTTATCTCCTCCGCACCTTCGGTTTCTTTAAGATGTGCCTGCGCATATCGCTGCATTTGCACGATCGGCTCTTCAGGGGCATCACCAGGGCCAGCATGTACTTCTTTAACACGAACTCCTCCGGTCGGATACTGAATCGCTTCTCCAAGGATATAAGGACTGTGGATACGGATCTGCCGCACACGCTGCTGGATTGCATGGCCTTTATCATTGATGTCTCGGGAGTGGTTATCATAGTGGCCATTGCCAACTACTGGTTGCTGGTGCCCGCTGCCATAATTGGCACCGTATTGGGTTTAATACGTTACCTCTACGTCAACACCAGCCGAAGTGTTAAAAGAATTGAGTCCATATGTGAGTTAAAAAATCCTTTATTTTAAATTGATATTATAATTCTTAATCATTTTCAGCACGTAGTCCCGTCTTCTCGCTGACCAACCAAACCTTCCAGGGCCTCACCACTATCCGTGCTCTGCAGGCTCAGAGCGCCTTGGAGCAGGAGTTCCATGAGTATCAAAACACCAATACCTCGGCCTGGTTCCTGTTCCTCTCGTGCACGCGTGCCTTTGCCTTGTGGTCGGATCTGTTGTGCATTGCCTATATGGCGGCGGTCACCTTTAGTTTCCTGCTGCTTAAGGATGAGTTCGACAGCGGCGATGTGGGTCTGGCTATCCTGCACTCTACCACGATGACGGGCATGTGCCAGTGGGGCATGCGGCAGACAGCAGAACTGGAGAATCAAATGACGAGCGTGGAGCGTGTGCTGGAGTATATGGAACAGCCACCGGAGGCTCCGCTGGAAACGGCCGAGAAGTTCAAGCCAAAGACCGAGTGGCCAAGCAAGGGTCGCATTGAGTTCATCAACTTTAAGTTGCGCTACTCGCACAAGGAAGCGCCGGTGCTGAGGGACCTCAATTTCACTATTGAGCCGCGCGAAAAGATCGGAATTGTGGGCCGCACTGGTGCCGGCAAATCGTCCATCATCCAGTCCATCTTCCGTTTGGCCTGCAACGAGGGCATGATCCGGATCGACGATGTGGACATTGAGCATTTGGGTCTGCACGATCTGCGAAGTCAGATCTCCATCATACCCCAAGATCCGGTTCTATTTTCGGGCACACTGCGATACAACTTGGATCCGCTGGACGAGCGTACGGACGAGGAGATGTGGAAGGCGTTGGGTGATGTGGAGCTGCGCTCCTATGTGTCCACGCTCATTGGTGGCCTCAACTGTCGCATGTACGACGGCGGCTCGAACTTTAGTGTGGGCCAGAGGCAGCTCGTTTGCCTAGCGAGAGCCATCCTGAGGCACAACAAGATCCTTATTATGGACGAGGCCACGGCTAACGTGGATCCAGAGTAAGTTTAACTGTAAATATTATTGTAAGGTTTATAGCCTTGTAAGGTATTCAAATTATAGTCCGAAGCATTGTTTTATCGAAAAATTTGTCACATATAAATATTGATTCAAAGAATGCTAATATTTTAAACTGCGTTATGATCGATATCCGATTCGATCCTATAATTCAATTGCAAACTGCAAGGGTATACTAACTTTGAAACTTTGGTTCGAGAAGATTGTTTCCTTTCTTAATTTAAATTAATTATTAACGTATTTTCCTTTCAGAACCGACAAGCTTATTCAGCAAACAATCCGCTCCAAGTTCGGACACTGCACCGTCCTGACCATAGCCCATCGGTTGCACACTGTGATGGACAGCGATCGAGTATTGGTAATGGATGCAGGGGAGGCCCGAGAGCTGGGACATCCCTACGAGCTGCTGCAGCGCTCAGGTGGTTACCTGCGTCAACTGGTGGACAACACAGGAGCGGCCACCGCCTTTGCCCTGCAACAGGCGGCCGAGCAGAGTTACAGCAAGCAACTGCTGGGAGATGACGACGACACTGCCGCCCAGGATCTGAACATATCGCTGGCGCTGGAGGAGAAGAGTCAATAACTGTACTTGCTCAAACATCGAAGTAGAGCATATGAACTGAAAGTATTATATACAAAGCAGAATATGTACTTAAAGCTAACAAATTACCTGTTGCCTTGTACTTACGGAATATACATTTATAAGCTAGCTTGTTTATCGCCACGAATTTATGTAAATGTTTCTGTTACTGTATCTGTATCCGTTTCACTAGTATGTATCTTGTAAGTTTTGTACATCAAGTGTTCAATCGGCAAGCGCACAAAGTTCTGGAGAGCAAGTTCAATCAATCTAAATAGGACAAGTATAATGTATTTAGGTACTTTTTTAAATAAATCCATGTAGCTAATGTAGGATTACAATAAAGCATACCTAAAGATACGTACAATCTCAATAAAGTGCCTGAGAGTTATTAACTAAACGAAAATGAGTTGTTTTTTAATTATGGCTTACGGGCGCTGTTTTTCTTAGATAACTGGAGGGGTTTTTTTCAGAAGGCGAAGCGTTGAGAGGTAAGGTGTATCCCACATAATAGCTGGGCAGGAATATCCTAAAATATCGCATTTAATGTTGAATTATCAATGTTATACATATATTTTTATTTAAATTAATTACTGGCTATGGCTCGGTATGTTTAAAAAAATTTTTTTTTATAAGGTTAAAGGGGTTAAAATTGTCAAACATTGATAAAAATCCCAATTTTTGGAAATTTAAAATTGAGTATGCAGATTTATTAAACTACTAAAAACTAGCATAGATCAGGTTTCCGAATTACAATTAATGATTTTTTGGCTTAGTTATGAGTTTTTAAAACTATGATTTTTGGGAAAAATTGTCTGTTTTTATACCTTTTTGCAGGTTTTTATGATTTTTGTCAAAAACTGACAATAACATCAACAAACGCAGTATGCAGATTTGTTAGTGCAATCAAAAATAGCACAGAAAAACTTTCCGAATTAAAATTAATGCAATTTCGACCTAATTATGATGTCCGAAAAACTTTGATTTTTCAAAAAAAATGTCTGTTTTTATACCTTTTTGAAGAATATAATTTAAGTCAGAAGCTTGAAACTCAATGAAGGAGTCATTTCCGACCCTATAAGCCATATATATTCTTGATCAGCGTCAACAGCCCAGTCGTTCTAGCCATGTCCGGTCCAAAAATAAATTTTTTACATTTTTCCTAAAATTGAAAATTTTATAAGGGTTACATCACTAAAATTGCCAAAATTTTGCAAACAATTGAATTTTTTAAATTTGAAAACTGAGTATGCAGCTTTGTTAATCTATTAAAAACTAGCATAGATCAGGTTTCCGAATTACAATTAATGATTTTTTGGCTTAGTTATGAGTTTTTAAAACTATGATTTTTGGGAAAAATTGTCTGTTTTTATACCTTTTTGCAGGTTTTTATGATTTTTGTCAAAAACTGACAATAACATCAACAAACGCAGTATGCAGATTTGTTAGTGCAATCAAAAATAGCACAGAAAAACTTTCCGAATTAAAATTAATGCAATTTCGACCTAATTATGATGTCCGAAAAACTTTGATTTTTCAAAAAAAATGTCTGTTTTTATACCTTTTTGAAGAATATAATTTAAGTCAGAAGCTTGAAACTCAATGAAGGAGTCATTTCCGACCCTATAAGCCATATATATTCTTGATCAGCGTCAACAGCCCAGTCGTTCTAGCCATGTCCGGTCCAAAAATAAATTTTTTACATTTTCCTAAAATTGAAAATTTTATAAGGGGTTACATCACTAAAATTGCCAAAATTTTGCAAACAATTGAATTTTTTAAATTTGAAAACTGAGTATGCAGCTTTGTTAATCTACTAAAAACTAGCATAGATCAGGTTTCCGAATTACAATTAATGATTTTTTGGCTTAGTTATGAGTTTTTAAAACTATGATTTTTGGGAAAAATTGTCTGTTTTTATACCTTTTTGCAGGTTTTTATGATTTTTGTCAAAAACTGACAATAACATCAACAAACGCAGTATGCAGATTTGTTAGTGCAATCAAAAATAGCACAGAAAAACTTTCCGAATTAAAATTAATGCAATTTCGACCTAATTATGATGTCCGAAAAACTTTGATTTTTCAAAAAAATGGTCTGTTTTTATACTTTTTTTAAGAATATAATTTAAGTCAGAAGCTTGAAACTCAATGAAGGAGTCATTTCCGACCCTATAAGCCATATATATTCTTGATCAGCGTCAACAGCCCAGTCGTTATAGCCATGTCCGGTCCAAAAATAAATTTTTGACATTTTTCCTAAAATTGAAAATTTTATAAGGGGTTACATCATTAAAATTGCCAAAATTTTGCAAACAATTGAATTTTTTAAATTTGAAAACTGAGTATGCAGCTTTGTTAATCAACTAAAAACTAGCATAGATCAGCTTTCCGAATTACAATTAATGTTTTTTTGGCTTAGTTATGAGTTTTTAAAACTATGATTTTTGGGAAAAATTGTCTGTTTTTATACCTTTTTGCAGGTTTTTATGATTTTTGTCAAAAACTGACAATAACATCAACAAACGCAGTATGCAGATTTGTTAGTGCAATCAAAAATAGCACAGAAAAACTTTCCGAATTAAAATTAATGCAATTTCGACCTAATTATGATGTCCGAAAAACTTTGATTTTTCAAAAAAATGGTCTGTTTTTATACCTTTTTGAAGAATATAATTTAAGTCAGAAGCTTGAAACTCAATGAAGGAGTCATTTCCGACCCTATAAGCCATATATATTCTTGATCAGCGTCAACAGCCCAGTCGTTCTAGCCATGTCCGGTCCAAAAATAAATTTTTGACATTTTTCCTAAAATTGAAAATTTTATAAGGGGTTACATCATTAAAATTGCCAAAATTTTTCAAACAATTGAATTTTTTAAATTTGAAAACTGAGTATGCAGCTTTGTTAATCTACTAAAAACTAGCATAGATCAGGTTTCCGAATTACAATTAATGATTTTTTGGCTTAGTTATGAGTTTTTAAAACTATGATTTTTGGGAAAAATTGTCTGTTTTTATACCTTTTTGCAGGTTTTTATGATTTTAGTCAAAAACTGACAATAACATCAACAAACGCAGTATGCAGATTTGTTAGTGCAATCAAAAATAGCACAGAAAAAAGTTATCGAATTAAAATTAATGCAATTTCGACCTAATTATGATGTCCGAAAAACTTTGATTTTTCAAAAAAAATGTCTGTTTTTATACCTTTTTGAAGAATATAATTTAAGTCAGAAGCTTGAAACTCAATGAAGGAGTCATTTCCGACCCTATAAGCCATATATATTCTTGATCAGCGTCAACAGCCCAGTCGTTCTAGCCATGTCCGGTCCAAAAATAAATTTTTTACATTTTTCCTAAAATTGAAAATTTTATAAGGGGTTACATCACTAAAATTGCCAAAATTTTGCAAACAATTGAATTTTTTAAATTTGAAAACTGAGTATGCAGCTTTGTTAATCTATTAAAAACTAGCATAGATCAGGTTTCCGAATTACAATTAATGATTTTTTGGCTTAGTTATGAGTTTTTAAAACTATGATTTTTGGGAAAAATTGTCTGTTTTTATACCTTTTTGCAGGTTTTTATGATTTTTGTCAAAAACTGACAATAACATCAACAAACGCAGTATGCAGATTTGTTAGTGCAATCAAAAATAGCACAGAAAAACTTTCCGAATTAAAATTAATGCAATTTCGACCTAATTATGATGTCCGAAAAACTTTGATTTTTCAAAAAAAATGTCTGTTTTTATACCTTTTTGAAGAATATAATTTAAGTCAGAAGCTTGAAACTCAATGAAGGAGTCATTTCCGACCCTATAAGCCATATATATTCTTGATCAGCGTCAACAGCCCAGTCGTTCTAGCCATGTCCGGTCCAAAAATAAATTTTTTACATTTTTCCTAAAATTGAAAATTTTATAAGGGGTTACATCACTAAAATTGCCAAAATTTTGCAAACAATTGAATTTTTTAAATTTGAAAACTGAGTATGCAGCTTTGTTAATCTACTAAAAACTAGCATAGATCAGGTTTCCGAATTACAATTAATGATTTTTTGGCTTAGTTATGAGTTTTTAAAACTATGATTTTTGGGAAAAATTGTCTGTTTTTATACCTTTTTGCAGGTTTTTATGATTTTTGTCAAAAACTGACAATAACATCAACAAACGCAGTATGCAGATTTGTTAGTGCAATCAAAAATAGCACAGAAAAACTTTCCGAATTAAAATTAATGCAATTTCGACCTAATTATGATGTCCGAAAAACTTTGATTTTTAAAAAAATGGTCTGTTTTTATACTTTTTTAAGAATATAATTTAAGTCAGAAGCTTGAAACTCAATGAAGGAGTCATTTCCGACCCTATAAGCCATATATATTCTTGATCAGCGTCAACAGCCCAGTCGTTATAGCCATGTCCGGTCCAAAAATAAATTTTTGACATTTTTCCTAAAATTGAAAATTTTATAAGGGGTTACATCATTAAAATTGCCAAAATTTTGCAAACAATTGAATTTTTTAAATTTGAAAACTGAGTATGCAGCTTTGTTAATCAACTAAAAACTAGCATAGATCAGCTTTCCGAATTACAATTAATGATTTTTTGGCTTAGTTATGAGTTTTTAAAACTATGATTTTTGGGAAAAATTGTCTGTTTTTATACCTTTTTGCAGGTTTTTATGATTTTAGTCAAAAACTGACAATAACATCAACAAACGCAGTATGCAGATTTGTTAGTGCAATCAAAAATAGCACAGAAAAACTTTCCGAATTAAAATTAATGCAATTTCGACCTAATTATGATGTCCGAAAAACTTTGATTTTTCAAAAAAATGGTCTGTTTTTATACCTTTTTGAAGAATATAATTTAAGTCAGAAGCTTGAAACTCAATGAAGGAGTCATTTCCGACCCTATAAGCCATATATATTCTTGATCAGCGTCAACAGCCCAGTCGTTATAGCCATGTCCGGTCCAAAAATAAATTTTTGACATTTTTCCTAAAATTGAAAATTTTATAAGGGGTTACATCATTAAAATTGCCAAAATTTTTCAAACAATTGAATTTTTTAAATTTGAAAACTGAGTATGCAGCTTTGTTAATCTACTAAAAACTAACATAGATCAGCTTTCCGAATTACAATTAATGATTTTTTGGCTTAGTTATGAGTTTTTAAAACTATGATTTTTGGGAAAAATTGTCTGTTTTTATACCTTTTTGCAGGTTTTTATGATTTTTGTCAAAAACTGACAATAACATCAACAAACGCAGTATGCAGATTTGTTAGTGCAATCAAAAATAGCACAGAAAAACTTTCCGAATTAAAATTAATGCAATTTCGACCTAATTATGATGTCCGAAAAACTTTGATTTTTCAAAAAAATGGTCTGTTTTTATACTTTT